TTTTATTTTTAATGCTCAAAAGTATTTGAATATTAATCAATGATCATGTTCTATTAAGAAATTTAGTAAATTTCTTTCTGTAAATAAATCAACACTTAATTCTTGATTTGAAATATACATTGCTAAAAACTTAATTAATTTGGACCATTTTAAAGGTGATTTCATAATATTTAGTTTTTTTTACCCTCAGTTTGTATTTATAAATGTAAGATTGTATACATAGAATGAACATTAAAACACAATTATACTTTTACATTGGCATTAGTTAATATGTATTATTTTTCTGACAAATGGGTAAACTCTAGTTTTTTTTTTATATTTCATGATGTTCATATCTAAATATCCCTGACAAATGTCGATAAACTATTGTTTAACTGAAAGACATTCCAGTAGATTTCTTCTGTGAATCATAGTAGAGGTATGAGAGCCTTTTTTGCTCAGAAAAAAGTTAAAGGGATAGTCCACCCTTAAGTGTTATAAAAATTTGAGTTTTTTTCCTTCTGTTGAACACAAAAGATATTTTAAAGAAAGCTGAAAACTTGACCACTGACTTCCATAGTAGGGAAAAACGTTAAAAAATTAGGGAAAAATACTATTGAAGTCAATGGTTGCAGGTTTCTAGCTTTTTTCAAAATATCAAAGTTTGTGTTCTGAAGAAACAGAAGAAACTCAAACAGAAACTTCGGAAGTGAAGAGAGAGTAAATTATGATAGAATATTTTGGGGGGCTGAATTATTCCTTTAAACAGACACAATCTAATGTAGAGAAAACTCATACATACATTACATAACATTACATACATTAAATATGTATATGTAAATAATTTAAAGCACAATTTATTGCATACGAAACAAAAGAGAATGTAAATGCTAAAACTTTCTCTTTTTTTTCTTTTTTTTTATGAACAGGGGATCTTGAGCTCAGTAGCCTCATCTTCCTGACAGACCTTTGTTCCAGTTTGGGAGGGATTCACCCTGGTTCTCTTTTACCCTCTTCCAACTCCAGTCCACAGCTTCAGCTGGACCCCAAATTTTGTGCTGACCTAGTTTCTCGGAAGACAAAAGAGGTGTACCCTTACCCTAGTCCACTCCACGCAGTGGCCCTCCAAAGCCCCCTGTTCACCACCTGCCAGGATCCTTCACCCACCCGCCTGTCCCCCAGCCCAGAAACCGAGCAGCTTGTGGAGTCGGAGCTTGAGGAAAATCCTGTAAAAATCCAGCCTCCAGCATCTCCTTCCTTTACTCAGCTGGAGCAATACATCAACCGATTAGTCCATCAGCATCACTGCAGGGTGGCTGCAGAAGCTTCCAGTCGTGGACCCCAAATAAACATTGCAGGGACTGGTTATGAGGGTCTCCACCCAAGAAGTGCTTCCTCTTCCAGCTTGTCCGGAGGTAGCATGACTCCTTGCAAATCAATCCTGGGAAATTCGGCAAGAGTTAGTCTTAGCAGTATTGGGAAACGTGCAAGTCGCAATTCCATCAACCTCGGAAACTTGCCCTCAGTCACCGGCGAAGATTTCAACATCAGTTTCCACCTGAATCTGAATTTGAACCTCAATCCAAATCTGAACAAGACTTTAAGTGTCGATGCTAAAAATGTGAAGGAAGAGGTCTCGGGATCATGCGGACATCTTTCTGCAAATATAGTCACGCCAACTGCATCTCCGTCTTCTTCAACATCCACCATTACTACTACTCCAAACTGGAGCAGGAGACCAAGGATCTCCACCTGCCCTTCTTCGGTGAGCAATCGAGGGTCTCTGGAGATTCCTGGGAAATCTTTTGGGTCAGTGGGATTCTCTAAATCTTTGGATTGGAGTGGAGCCTCAAGGGAAGAAGCAGAAGGTTGTCCTCCAATTAAAGCTTTGGAAAGTCCTCCCAAACTCAATGAGGACTCAGCAGTTGTCTGCGAGATCTCTCGTGTTTCAGGCTTGCCGAGGTCTGTAGTTCTTGGATTGATGGAGGAAGGAGTGGAGCTGGATACCGAATGTTTTGGGAGTGAACGAGAAAGAGGTGTAGGCTCTTCTTCTCCAAGTGCCATTCCTACAATGCAATCCACTCGGTCTTCATTTCAGCATTCGTTTGGGTTAGATCGAACACCACAGTCGAACACCTGGACTGGACAAGATTACATATCTCAACAGCATCGCCTACAAGTTTCCCATTCGGACTGCCATTCAACATTGACGTCGCAGTCAGGAAGCCCTCGTTCAGATAATTCAGGTCCCACTCCTCGGTCTTCTCCAATCCTGCCTTTCCCACATAATCAATCAGACCCAGGATCCTCCCCAGGCTCTTCCCACACCAGGGTCCACTCTCCTCCAAGGCTACTCTCGAATTCACCCTTCACCCCTGCTCAGTTATCAGTATTTCGCCGTGACTCTCCATCCCAGTGCTCTCTTCCACGCTTTCACCCTTGCAGTTCCCCATTGGAGGGTCCGATTCGGCCTCGTGGAGGTTCCCTTAGACAGAACACTGGAGCGGGATGGAGACCTCAGGATAGAGGCTGGAGGAGGAGCGGCGATGGGGAGCGACTTTACCAGGGTAAACATGCCTCCAGAGAACTTATCCGAGCTTCAACAGTTAGTAGCTATTCGGGAAGAGACTATGGCTCCGGGTGGGAGGATGAAATGAGTACTCAAACTCCTAAAAAAGGTGGGAAATTTTGGAAAGGCTTTGAAACTCGATTTTGGGGGCGAGAAGAGGAAGATGACGATGATGAAGATGAGAGAGATGTGAGAGCTGGAGGATTCAGCTGGAGGCACACTTCGCTAAAGGAAACTTCATCTAGTAGGCAGGATCACAGAGGAAATAACTCCAAAAAGAAAGGCACGAGTTGGGACAGTCGGAGCTCAAGCCTCCGCTTGTCTAGAAGAGCATTATTTCGAAGCGAGTCTCAGGGAATTCTGGAGCCACACTCGCAGAAGCGGGACAGCAATCAGTGGCGTTCATCGTTTGAGATCAGCCGTGCAGGACGAGGCTCGGAGCGTGCTCGAAATCTTGTTCGGAAGGAGGAGAAACATCACTCTTCTACTGCAAGTCTTTTCCACCTCTCTCGCTCTCAGAGTTTGGAGGGAAGCAGTCATTCGCTTTCTCCTCTTTCGTCTCCATCGCTCTCGCCTTCGCCTCCACCTTCAGCTCCTCTCACGCGCTCCAGATCCTTCCGCGACCTCGGACGGAAAGTGTTTGGCTCCATGAGGTCCCTCAGTTTCAATAAAAACCACAAGTCAAAGAAGAAGGACTAAAGACTTTTTTTTTTTTAAATGGGCGAAACCAAGCTGCCAACTTTTTTTTCCCAGCCCGATATTCTCTTTCTGCTCGTTTTAGATGCTTCTGCATGCCATGCTGTGCTGTGTCTCTGTGCACTCTTATGGTCATAGTGGTGCTGGTGTTGTTTTTACAATCAACATATATTATGCTTCAAGAAGCATTTTAAAGTATTTGCTGACCAAATACAAAAAGAGATTTTGTTTGAACTCATACTCAGGACTTTGAAAAAAAAAAGGTAACTTGAAATGATTGTTGAAGTGCTGAAACATGATTAAATATTAATAAAAGTATTTACAGTTTAATATGACGTGCTTGGCAATGACATATGTTGGTGCTGCTGAGTGAAGTGTTTTAGCACAATAGGATTATTAAAAATCTGCTGTCGTAGTTTATATCATTCAATCCTTTTTCTTCAGCTAAATCTTTATTTCAGGAGTTACCAAAGTGGAATAAACTGCCAACTATTCCAGCATATTTTTTACGCAGCGGATACCCTTCCAGCTGCAACCCATCACTGGGAAACACCCATACAAACTCATTCACACATGCCTTCATACACTATGGACAATTTAGTTTATTCAATTCACTTATATCGCATGTCTTTGGATTCTGGGGGAAACTCATACCAAAACAAGGCGAGCCGGGACTCGAACCAGCAACCTTCTTGCTGTGAGGGACAGTGCTAACTACTGAGCCACGGTGCCAGCTTATATTAAATATCTTACAACGCAAACATGCGTTTTTATAGTTTTTGTTTTGTTTTTAGTCCAAAATAAGCAAAAAAATAATTATGTGCCAATTGTTTTCTGTTTGAAATAAGATTATTTTACTTACCCATTGGCATCTAGCTTCTTTCAAGAAATAAAAACTTAAATTTGACTGAAAACAAAACAATATTTGTACTTGTCAAGAAAATGCCTCGATTCTAAAGGGTCACGAAACACCAAAACGCATTTTTTGAGATGTTGACAGATATATTGAGATATATATGTCCCTGTTACTAAAAACATTTGGTTGTTTTTACGTTGTTTAAAGCAAATTCGTACTTCAGTTTTTTTTTTTAAACTGGAAGCTGCGTCACGGCAATGAGATCCTTGTGTAAATTCCAGCATAGAGATTGGCTGTTTGTACTGGCCCATACAGAGTGAAGACGAATTGTTCAGAGACATCGGTTGTCAGTGTTGCATTTACAAATGTGCTGCAATGAAGGTTTTGTTTTCATGTCCCTGCGGTGAGACATACCTTAGTCAAAATGATTTAGTTACTAAGTTTACAGTAATATCACTATAAGATATAATCCTCCACTAACACACAGCACACACAGTTCTCAGATCCATTGTAAATGCTGCTCTCCAAATCAATGTCTATCTACCCCGTGTCTATGTTTGTAGTGCACATACTGAAACTCCCCTGTTTATGCAAACCCTTCCCCCTTTCACCACTTGACACTCCCACCTAAACAAAGTTGGAATCACCCTTTTTCAAACTCCTTTTTCAATCACCCTGCTGAGACAGTGGGGCTGTGTTTGTGTGTGTGTGTGTGTGTGTGTGGGGGGGGGGGGGGGGGGGGGGATTTTTTGGAGCATTTCCATGATAATATTACAATAATCCACTAACAACCTAAAAGCATCAAGTTTGTTGTAAATGAATTAATTATGTGTTGAATTCTTTCAAAAAATATTTATTATGATAAACAAACAAAAAAATACACAGCTGGAAGCAACCGAATGCAAAACAAGCAGCTGGACATCATATTTATTACCAGACTACAATGCATTTCAAGTGCATTAAAATTCTCTTTCAAGTCGCCACGTTGCACCAGATTTCAGCCACAAATTTAGTCTTGTCATGTGACACCAGTGAATGGCATATGCAGCAAATTACCCACAGCCCGAGGCAAAACATCCCACTTCCTTTGGGATGCTGTCAGCTCTTTAAGCTCTTTGTACTTGACGGATACTCCTGCTGAGTCGTGTATTAGTCCATTTAGACCAGTTCCCGGGTCTTCTCCTCTGCTATCTGCTCCTCGGCTTGTTTTTGTTTGCTGAACATACCTTTATACAGCGCCTTCTCCTTTTGGTAGTCCTGGCTGAGTCTTTCCTCCACTCGCTGCAGCTGCTTCTTTACATCGGCATCTGAAATGAATGTCATCATTAGTTCAATCAAAGCACTGAAGTGAACTGTGAATGTAGATGTAAAACTGAGCGGTTCAATCGAAGGCTGCAAAGCGGAGGTGTTTGATCTTACAAGCTCGGTAGGAAAATGGATGAATCCACAAAATTTAATAACACAGCATTACGTAACAGGCTGAAAACTCCACAGCAGCTGTGTCCCTTGTGAAAACTGGAGCTGAAATCCCTGACAGCTTATTAATTAGACCAATAGTTCCCAACCTTTTTCTTCAGGCAAGCTTTTTTTATTCTAGTTTTTTAAAATTGTATGCATATTTTAAAATTAGCAAACATGTGCAGGTATTCAACAGACAAGTAAGGTTTATACCTGCTAATATTAAGATGCAATTTCATCAATGCAATCACAGGTGGCCAAATAATTCCCAGTCACACGTTTCTACTGTCTACTTTCTACCAGTTCTCTGATGAGGGAGGATCTGTATGTACTTTGGCTTTCTCTTAGCATTACGTTTAATACTGCGAAAGCTGGGCTACCTATAGCAGAATTTCTGCGATTTACATTTCATTATCAACATACAAACTTTATTAAAAGTACCATATTAATTAAATACGCTTTAGGAATATGTTACACATTGGTTAATGAAATTTAAGAATTTCTTTTGCTTTCAACTTTAAGCCTTCACACTTTAGTTTTTACATGCTGTTTATATAAAAATCACTTTAACAAATATTTTTGAACATCTAAAGTAAATAAATCGTGTTATTATGCCTCTTTCGAATTAAATTATTAGGCTAGGCAAACTGATCTCATGGAATTGATCAAACAAAAAGACTGCGGTCTCTGATTTAAGTAGAATAACGTTACGATTATTAAAACACATTAATCTATACGTCTAACGTTACACACAAGAAATGATAAAACATTAACAAAGCTGTATCTTATGAAACGCCAGTTGAAGGGCACATAAGGTGCATTTAAGAGAAAGCAGCCAAAGCCCGTTACAGAAATCGTTGCTGTAAAATATGTAAGTTCAGCAAAAGAAAAAAACAAATCAGGACAGGAAGGAGAACATTCTGCTTTATTTATCTCCTTTTAAACAAAAGCAATCAGCCAAACACACAGGATCAGTGTAATATTACATTATTTACGATTATAAATAAATTTGAAAACGTATCTCTGCAATCTGCCAAATAAATACACCCAAGAACAACAACAACAAAAAAAAAAGGTTAAAAAGTCTAAAGACTGACTGTTAGATACACAAAAAATTAATTAGATATCATGTTTTAACAACAGAGATGCAAGAAATTAGATCCAGCGGCAGGTCCTGTGATGGTCTGGCCAATATAAAGCTTTGCTTGGGAGGGGGAGCCGTTCTCGGAGCTGCTGCTGACAGCCTGGAGCTTCCAATATTTTTAAACACGTGCTATCCTTATACATCAATTGCCAATTTAACTTTAAAATATCTATATTCTCACTTGAAAAACTCGGAAAACTTGATTTTGTGGTATAATTAATGAGTATTTTCCTAATTTTGTGGATTCCCGTCTGCCTTTAACAGTCCTCATCGGTTTCCTGTGCAGCACATGCAAGTTGCTATGTTAATTATAAACGTGTAGCGCATTTATTTTGAACTGTGATCAAAACAGTCTGGAACTACCTGTGTGTTTCAATGAAAATAATGCACACCCTCCAGCCAATCAGAATCAAGAATTTCAACAGAACATGAATCTAAACAGCAGGCTTATCAAGTTTATAAATACACCAGCCTATTAATAATTATTTGCAACAGTTTTAATGTTGCCCCCACTTCTTGTATGTTAACTACATTACCTAAAGGAACCTCATTGCAAAATGTGACCAAATCTTCTTTTGTTTGTGTGTGGCCATGTTTTTACAGATGTCGGTCTATAAAGACAAGGACACCTTGGACTTAAATATAGCTAATGCAATAAAGGGAATGCAGAGGTCCTGTGACATGTTTTCAACTATTTTTAACTCCACATTCACTTCACTCAAGGAATAACAGACTAGTTTAGACCAGTTTTAAGTGTAGTTTGTTAAAATGTAATTAGTTACAGTAATTAAATTACTTTTCCTTTAAAAACGTAAAGGATTACTTTTTCAATGTAGAAGAAATTACAGTAACTAATTACATTTTAACAAACTACAATAGTTGTGCTTGCCTTAAATACTGTCTATGAATTCAACAGCTCTGTATAAAGCAATTCAGAGAATAAATTGTGATGAATAGTTCTATTTTTCAACTAAAGGCTACATTTCGTCACCTTACAATTATAAGGTTCTTTCTGACATTTTTGTCAAAACTGAGTTACTGACATATTCTTATTAATTGAAAACATTTACATTATTATTTACATTATGGGATGCTTTTTTTATATATAAGTTTTTACATTTTAAGGCTTTTTATTTAAAAAACAAATGTTACACACATACTGTTTGGTATGCAATGCAAAAACTTTAAAGCTCAATATCTCATTATAACCTTACAATTCCAAGGTGATGATTTATCTAAACCAGTGATGCCCAAACTAGGGCCCACGGGCCAATTTGACGCATGATAACCTTTGATTTGGCCCACCATTCCCCAATCTGAGATGAGAGTGAGAATAATGGGTAAGGTTCGGGTGAATGCCTTCAACAGAGATCATCACTAATTTAACATAACCTTATGTTTGATTAAAGAACTACAAAAAGCATAGTGAAATTAAATGTCTCAATTAAGTGTTGTGAATTAATTACATTTTTAAAACTTTTAGATGTTTTAAACATTTTTAGATGTTGACATATATAGTATATGTGTGTGGAACGTTGCTAAAACCACACTTATAGGACACATATTTCACTATCGGGAGAAAAATGGCTCTTTTTGTAAATAAAAACCATGGAACTCCATTGTGTTATAGATGAGCTTGTTTATGGTTTTATTGTTTATAAGTACAGTATTATAAAAAAAAGTAATTATGTGATTAAATAGTGTTAGGGGTCCATACACAAAGTGCTGAAACCCTATTGTTTTTATTAAGAATTTTATTACTTTTTATTTTTATTATTATTCTGCCTTAGATTTATTGGTCAGACCAAACCCTAAGTCCGAGAGAGCTCAAAATAGTTAGATGGTAGTACTCCGGTACACTAAAACTAAAAGTTTAGACCAGTGGTATCCAAACTCAATCCTGGAGGCCCGGTGTCCTGCATATTTTAGTTCCTACCCCAATTAAACACACCTGAACCAGCTAATCAAGCTCTTTCTAGGTATACTAGACTTCTAGGCAGGTGTGTTGGAGGAAGTTGGAGCTAAACTATGCAGGACACCGGGCCTCCAGGACCCCTGGTTTAGACATTTTGGCCACCATTTGTCATAGACTCAAAAACTTGACTTTTTTGAATCTCTGGGTCACCCCGAACAAAAGTGCACAGGCGCACTTTTGGCTCTATGGCACACCTTTTGAAGTTGTAATTAATTGTATAGTACACACAGTTTTGCACAGCCGCACAAATTTCTGATCATATGATAGGCCTGCTCATACTGAACACTTTGACACTAAAACCACCGCGTACACTCAAACCATTCATTAAATATTCATCAATATGTAAAAAAATACTTTTGCAAACTAATCTCTGGTTTTCAGCTCAATTGCAACGAAACTAGTGTTGTTAGAATCTCTGGACTGAGTAGATCAATAATTATCAAACAAAAGTTGATCTTTCCACTTTGAATAGCTGTAGCAGGCTCATTTACAAAAGGGGCATATCCACAAGAACCTACATGTCTGTAAACCCATAAAGAAGACTCAAAACGTCAGAGAATTTTAGTGAACACGTGGCACATGAATGTAAACAAGCATGCAAAACTTTGTGGAGAAATGGAAATAGGTGGCGCTATAATAGTTGAAAAGGTCTTAAAAACACAGTGTTTCAATGACTGTTGATGCTCAATACAGTGATTCAATTACCATTTCAGCCACTAGATGGATCAACTTGAAGTTTGGCATGCAGTGTCTTTGCTCAAAGTGGAGTGACAATAAAATGACTGTCATTAGCCAATTAAATTTGAGCAGCCATTAAACACAGTTAATGATGGCTGATCAGAATTTATCTTGGTGGGCATGTTGGACTCAAGGGCCTAGAGGTCTTTTGAGAGAAATTTTGAGAGAAATCATCCACTAGGGGGCAATTTTTAATTTTTTGGGTTTGTGTAATTAAACATTCGTTAACTTAATCTATAAACTCTAATACTCTTATCATATATTTCATTGTTGAATAAACTACTTACAGACTGATAAACCTTAAACTTCTAAAACGCTTAACTCCAATAATTGCTCCTTGCAGCTAGATTTTTCTATTTATTTTAAAATATTATTAAATTAGTAAGTTACCATGGCAAATAATTTAATGCAGTTTGGTATATTTAGCTTCGGCCCACCACCCTCAATCAAGTTTGGTTTGTGTCTCTTCATAAGAAAAGGTTTGGGCACCCCTGATCTAGATGATTACACATGCTTTGTGTATTGCTCAATTAATTAAGAGACAAAGCAGTAATTAGTTGATTTACATTTGTTCATATTTTGTTATTCAAATATTTTTAATTTCCCAGAGATGGGTTGCGGCTAGAAGGGCAGCCGCTGTGTAAAAACTTGCTGGATAAGTTGGCAGTTCATTCCGCTGTGGCGACCCCAGATTAATAAAGGGACTAAGCAGACAAAAAAATTAATGAATGAAATATTTTTCTAAATTATTCACCAAAAGAAGGTTAAATCTGTCCAACAGCTGCACATGCTTAAGAAAATAGGTACTACACAGCACAAAATGCTTTTCTTAATTAGATTTTATGTCTTATTTCTAGTAAAAATAGCTAAAAATTCTTTAATCAAGAATAATTTTCAAGACAAGTAAAACATAATGTCTTGTTTTCAGAAACAATGTATAAAAAATAAGTGAGTTTATCCTTAAAACAAGCAAAATAATCTGCCAATGGGGTAAAAAAAAAAATCTTATGTCAAAAGGAAAAACAAGATTATTTGAAGTAGATAAAAAAAAATTGAATTAGGAAAAGCCTTTTTTTTTGCAGTGTGATAAATGTATGACCATATATAAAATATGATTTTAGTACCTTGAAATGTTTTGTGTTTTGATACACGTTTAACTTTACTTAAGGATTGATTTTAAAAGGCCCTGTTTGTTAAATTTAAACATCTGTGTCTTGAGACTTATAGTTATTCTATGTCGTATTGAGTCAAGTAGTTAAATTATTATGTACTAAAAATACTTTTCAGCCAAATGTTATTTAAATAAAGTGTTAATCATAAAATTAGAAATTAATTACTTTTTAAAGTAACTTGCTGTGCGCTGGTAGCAGTTACAGTAGAAATTTGTTTTAAGTATAAGGTAGGATAAGGCATAAACAATCAGAATTTATTCTTTATAATTATAAAAAGACCGCCAATATATTATTAATTAGCCACTAGGTAATACTTAATACTAGAGTATTACCAAAATATTAGGCAGATAGAAAGTAGTAAGAGTCAAGGAAAAGCACAATGTCATTAAAACTCAATCAGACCTTTAAAAGCTCTGGCGACCTCTGGTGTGAATGGGGAAACCATATAGGGAAAAAAAACCCATGTGTGATTTGTGTGTGATTCACCGTTAGGTTTCCCTCTGCTGGCCTGTGTAAGGTACTGTCGCGCCGCAGGAGCATCGCCCAGCTCTAGTGAAGCTACACCGGCTCTGTAGAGGGCTTTAGTATCAGCAGGCCTCCAGTGGAGCACCTTCAGACTGTACTCCAGCACACGTGTGTAGTCCACCAGCTCTCGCTGCAGTAAACATGCTGAGACACATAACACACACACACACACACACACACAATGAGTAATGAGGAGAACGCCGTCTTATGCAGAATGAGTCTGGAAGATTTTCAAATTAGCCAAATCTCTTATGCTGACACACACTCACCTCACACACACACACACACACACACACACACACACACACACACACACACACACCTGATGAGTAATAGGGAGGACGCTGTATTTTGCATAATCTAAATTGATTCTGGAAGATTTTTAAATGAGCCAAATCTCTTAGACATAGCAATTAGGGTTTCTGCAGGTTTCACCAAATCAAATCTAAGACTTTTTAAGACCATAAAGAATTAAATTTCAGACTTCATTAGGGCTAAACACAAATGATTTTTAATGCCCAGCAGAAATAAAATCTAATTATTAATTTCCTAGCCACATATTTTTAAATAATGTGTTAAAACCAATCAGACCTTAGCTGTTTACATACTTTTTTAAACTTAATTGAAAAAAAAAACTCTTTAAAAACTAAATGTTTACACAACAGACTATTATAATATTGGTTATGAACAGTTTTGCTAAAAGTTGAGATGTATTAGGTGGTTGGATGTGGGTCAGATTGATTGGGTAGCTTTACATGAACAAGGTAAAATTAAGACCTGTGAATTTAAGACGTTCGAAGGCCTAAAATTTTGTTTTTGAAGTGTAATACTTTTTAAGACCATGCCGATACCCCGGTAATGAGGAGAACGCTGTCTTTTGCATAACCTAAAATGAGGCTAAAAGAAATGAGCCAAATCTCTGATGCGTACCAAGGCTGCATTTCTTTTTATTATTTTTCTTATGCCAAAATCATTAGAATGTTACATACCGATCATACTTCATGACAACATGTTGTACCTTTCGAACTGTAAATATATGAAAACTTAATTATTGATTAAAATGTGCATTGCTTAGAACCTACTTTGGACAATGTTCAAGTCAATTTTCTCAATATATATATTTTAAATCCCAGATTTTCAAATAGTTGTATCCTGACCAAATATTGTATATATCCTAATAGGAGAGAGAGGTATGCATTTTGATTTGTCCAATTAATAATACTATGATAATGCCTGGCCAAAGTTAATTCCTCACCTACTCAGTAAAGAAATGTTTATAAGCAAGGTTAGAACATAAACTTAATGTTGGTGTGCTTAAAAGAACCTGCAAAATGATCACATATACCCATACAATACATAACACCAACAACACATACAATTAAAAACATGATTATTCACCCTCCTCCTTTTTTCAATATTTCACAAGTGATGTTTAATAGAGCAGAGGGGTTTTGACAGTATTTCCTATTGTATGTGTCTTTTCAAAAAGTTGAATTTCTTTTGGCTTAGCTGGAATATCTCTTTTTATTATCAAAACCACTGTTGTCCTATAACTTGCCTAGTTAACTTAAAGGTGCTGTATGTAAGTTTTTGACTCTTCCAAAGCATAAAATATCATAATGTTTTTGAGAAACATGCCAAGTGAACATTCCTGTTTATCTGAAAAACAATGCTGAAGTCAGATATTCTGCTTTGAAAATGTGCAATAGGTGCCGGAACATTTGTCTGAGTTTAGCCAATTATATTTCAGCACCCCAGGTTGCCTTGGGGAAAAAAACTCTTATTTCATTCATTCAGACAGAAAAGCTCTAAGTATGTGTCTGTGACTGAAATGCGACCTCTGGTGGACATGAGCAGACTCGCAGATTCACATGAGGTTATTAATTAGCATGTAATATAAATATTACGAAGGTAAACTTTAGGTGAGCAGGTTACATTGTAACCCCGTGTCCTAACAACACGCTACGTGACGAGATTTGCAGTTATGTGCAATTTGGCTGTTTGTACCACCAGACGAAACACGACAGAAATTGTAATACAGCCATTCAGAAGTACAGAATATACGTGCATTCACTCACGAAATGGTAAGGTTTCTAATCTAATTATACATATTAACACTCTTTAACATTATTAAATGTACATGACGAATGATTGATATGTGTTAGCTTGCACTGAGTCACAGTTCTGAAGCTAAATTTCAAACAGTTTATTTTATTTTTAAGATCAGAGGTGAACTATCTGCTGGTGCTTTAAGTATTTGGCAATAAATGTCATGTAAAATGGCCTTCAAACTCACATTATTAGCATTTAACACTGAATAACGCACATGAGGTGTACCTGAGGGGATCATTGTCAGTTGTCTGTTGTTCAGCTGCAAGAAATAGAAAACGTTTCTAATATATAAATTTGAGGTGTTCGTTAGAACAAAAACTGCTTTTAATACGGGAAATATTCCTTCTATCACGTGCCGTTGCTTTTAATTAGAACATGATTTAAATTAGCGTTTAGGCTCAATCGTAAGACTCTGTTGGTCGTTAATCTGGCAACATGCTCTTGCATTTGTTTTGATCCAGGAGTGCAATACCTAGTTCAACCACTGGGAGTCAAACTTACATACTGCACCTTTAATTGACCAAGTTGAATACTAGTATCTTGCAAAATAACTAGTAAAATATTATGCATTAATCCAAGCATGGCATGAAAAAATTATATGAGAAATTAGTTTAAAATGTGTGGAAAAAAAATCTTTCCATTAAACAACACTTCGGGAATATTTTTAAAACTACTAACTAAAACTTAAGACTAATAATTACTCTTCAAATACAGTGCTGCTCAACATAATTGAGTACACCCCATTTTAAATATGAATATTTTTATCCATTTCTTAGTGAATATTAGTAACATATAACAGATTTATTAAACAGATATATTTATTAAAAAGAATATTTTAGACACCAAACATCTTTAGAAACAAAGATAACACATTTAAATTTTGGAAAAAATACAACCTACAAAATTGTATACATTTTTAGTTTCTCTTGTATTTTGCTTTTTATACATTTTTTTATTTCATATTTTTAATATTAATCTGGGCATACTAATTTTGTACCGCTATCGTAAGTAATCTTGTTAGCTTCAATCTAATGTAAATCCACAAATATAATATTGTAAGGCATCTTTTAGATAATATTAATCTAAATGAGAGATTTGTGAGGGGTGTAAATCAAGTTTTTGCAAGAAACACAAACCTGCTAGATTGTTATAGCAGTCTATCTGCGTGCTCCTCAGCAGCTCGTCCTGCTCCTGGTTGAGTTTGGGCACCGGAGCCCCGAAGCCCTGCATCACAGAGTTTACCTCAGAGTCCAGACTGCGCAGGACCAGCAGAGCTCGATGGTAGCGGCCAATAGCAGAGCGCACGTTTCTCCCCCGATAGAAAGCATTGCCCTCCGTCTTTAACCGGACGGCCTCCTGGAGCTGAGAGTCCAAACGGGAAGCAGACGATCCTCCGGCAGCCCCCAAACACGATGACCCATCATCCCCTGCAGGAGGATCTGCAACCTGAAACACACAGTGATGAAAACCGACTGCATTATTAAAGGTGAGACTCTGCAGGCAAAAACATTGAGATTTTTCAAGCGCCTGTCAGTTTTGAGATCTATTTTTATTAAGTGATTATTATTCAGTCTAATGTATGGTGTGTTTTATATTGTGTGTGCCTTGTGAGGATTTGCAAATCATATGCTGACAAACTGATAAGGATCTTTTCTTAATTTGCTGCCGTTTTTTTTGTAATTGCATGTATTTTCTTGGGGCATCATGGTGGCTCAGTGGTTAGCAATATCACCTCACAGCAAGAAGGTCACTGATTTGAGCCCCGACTGGGTCAGTTGGCATTTTTTTTGTGGAGTTTGCATGTTTCCCAGTGTTCGCCTGGGTTTCCTCCTGGTGCTCCGGTTTCCCCCACAGTACAAAGGCGTGCGTGACTTGAATTAACTAAATTGGCTGTAGTGTATGTGTGTAAATGAGCATGTATGTTTCCCAGTACTGGGTTGCAGCTGGAAGGGCATCCATTTTGTAAAACATATGCTGGATAAGTTGGTGGTTCATTCCGCTGTGGCGATCCCTGATTGATAAAGGGACTAAGCCAAAGGAAAATGAATGAATGAATGAATGTATTTTCTTGAAATTGCAGCATGTTAAGCTCTCTCAGCCACCATACTGTTGTCAAGACACATCCAGAATACATTTATATGTTGTTACTCCCCTCGAGTTGAATCAAAAGCTCAAGTCGTTCTTGATTTTAACTGACTTTTATTCAGACACGAGTCTTTAGTACAGGGGTGCCCAAACTTTTTCGTATGAAGGGCCAAAAATTAAATATCAACTCATCCAGCATATGTTTTTACGCAGCGGATGCCCTTCCAGCTGCAACCCATCTCTGGGAAACATCCATACACACTAATAGACTACGGACAATTTAGCCTAACTAATTCACCTGTACTGCATGTTTTTGGACTGTGGGGGAAACCGGAGCACCCGGAGGAAACCCACGCGAACACAGGGAGAACATGCAAACTCCACACAGAAATGCTAACTGACCCAGCCGAGGCTCGAACCAGCGACCTTCCTGCTGTGAGGCGACAGCACTACCTACTACGCTGCCAAATCGCCACATCATAAACAATCACATTTATTTTTTTACATTTTGCCTTGATTTACTCCTTTACACCAAAGTCCATCGTACATGGACAAATGTACATTTGAAACTAAATCTGATGAATATACACCATTTAAATCGAAACATTTAATGTCAGATTGTTTTTTGTAGCTTAACAAGAAATACTATACAATATAGGGATGTCCCGATACAACATTTTAACTTCCGATACGATACCGATATTGCAGCCATCAGTGCGAACCGATACCGATATAAATCTGATATCAGCACAAATTATGAATACTTTACTTTTACCTATTTCGTTGAGTCAAATGTATGAAAGGCTAGATCAAACTGAGAACAAGTCAGCAACAGTAAGTATGGAAAAAAACAAGTTTATTAACTATTGGTTGCATAAATGTGAACCTTTCATATAATAATATACAAAAAGAATTAAAGAATAAATATTAAGATCCTGAAAATCATCTTAATTGAATAAACAAAAATACATTTTTAAAGTGCAAAATGCTAATTAAAGGTCTCTTCAGTTATTCATTTTTTACCATCAGCAAATAGTAGAAACTGTTCCGAGCAGGAACATAAGAAAAACAATATTGTTAATTGAACAACTGCTAAAGGTGCAGTGTCCAAAATTTCAATCTTCTTGATGAATTTTTGACCAAGTTGAGCTGAAAAATGTCTCACACTGGACAGCAGAAATAAGTTATTGTTAAGTTAATAAAATGTGCAGTATGGTTAGTACAAACATTTACATGATCAGAGCTATTTCATCTGTGTTTGTATCATAAGAAGATTATGGCTGTATCAATGTTCCCAAACATTATTAATTTAAAATAATATATATTGTACATATTATATTTAACATAAAAATACTTGCAGAGGCTAGATTGACACACACCTTTTCTCCACAGCACTTGAAATAATGTGACTTTTAAGAATAATTTTATTCATCAAAATTCATTATATTTGTACATTTGCATAGATTCCACCCTACTGCCCACATGGGAAAAGTATGACAATGTAAATAAAGAGAACTGCAAACTTGTGTGCAAAGCTGACACTGTTTATCAGAGCACTTTATCTTTCTGGGCTTTTAAAAGAAGAGTTAAATACAGTTTTACATTAAATTTGAAAGGATAATCTATACATAACCCCTTCTCAAATGGGATGGTGGGCCAAATCAAAAGTTACCATGGGCCAATTTTTACCCCCGGGCCCTACTTTGGGCATCTCTGCTTTAGTATGTTTTGTACATTCTAGCCTTGCATGTCTTTATGTCTCAACAATGCCATCCGAACTATGAAAATAAAAACATAAAACTTACATTAATTAGGTGTTGTTTGCTTATTATTATAAAGTGCACATTCAACATGTAAGGAAATACAGTTATTTGGCTAATTATGCTTTAACATACTCGGTCACATACAGCAAAGCAGTTAACACAATAAGACACATAACTCACTGGCCTCTCTAACTCAAGGGGAATAAACTTGTAGGGTTACAGTTTTCTCTCTATCAAGACTATAACTTCTTGGAACTTCTTACAGGCATAATTCTCACATACATATTATTAGTGCAGCACCTCATGTGGCAGTACTGCTTGTGAAGCATCTGAGAAATATCTTGATTGCAACAATTAAATATTTCCCAAGCTAAAAAAAAAAAGAAATAGTTGACTTTTTAGTTTTAGTTTAAACTAATTGACATGCATTAACAACAAATATACATTACTTGTTTATTCTAATGATTACTCTGAACATTTGACCTATTTATTAATCTTTTAACTGTAAAGTGCATATTATAATCTGAAATATATGAGAGTTGCCTCTGATCATTCGTTTAATGGCAACTTGTGATATCCATTGTTTACCATGGTACTTACGTTGAAATCACATGCAAGTATGACTTCAAAACAACATAAGCACTATTTATTTGACTGTAAACAACGTTGTACTTTGACAGTCATTACCTGCTTATATAGAAGTAAAGTTGGTTTTATATTCGCACATTCGTTCATTTAGAAGTCTCTATATTGTTTACCATGTTACTTTGAATATTCGATTGGAATTAGCATGCAAGTGTGGCTTGAAAACAACATTAACACTGTTTATTTGACTGTGAACAATGTTGTACTTTGATAGTCATTGAGTGCTAATATGATTTCGCTATTTAGAGTTTGAATATAATACTTTAATGAAATTATATTATTAAGGGGAAAGTCCGAATGTGTGAATATAAAACCAACTTTACCTCTATCCTGCTTATACGATTTCACAATTTACTATTAGCAAATCTTACTTTTCTGAAATTGTATAATAAGGACTACTTCTGAATGTGTGAACAAAAACTTCACTTTACACTTTCAGTCCTGTCAGATCAGTGCTGGTTTGGCACGTAAATAGAAAGTTTGACCATTTAAGCAAAGTAATTATTAGTATTAATTAGTGCTGCTGGCCCTCGTTAATGGCCAGGTGTCCTCTTAAAAACATAGGCAGACCAGCTTAACCAGTCTAACAGAAGTAAACCAGTTTACAGGATTGAGTCCAGTTCATTCATTCATTAGGCTTGTATCTAAACTGGTAGATTACTCATACATTAAATCAAATCAATTGCGTACACAGATTAAGCTGGCATGCAAGTTCATATCACTAAAAAGTGACTTTTCATCAAAACAGATCATGTCTATGAGTATAAACCGCGCCCAGGACATCGTGCTGAAGCTAATATCCGCCCTTTTACTGCGTGCTAAAGAAAACCTTCTTTTTACCTTTTCGTCCATGGCGTTTAAAGCTTTATAATGGTTTCAGAGTGCGTTTAATGCAGTAAATGTTGCTGGGAGGCTAAAAAATGAGTGTTTGACGCTCTTCTTCGTGGTTGTTATGATTCCTGGGTGAAGCTCCGCAACACTGCCTCCTCCTGAACAAAACGGAAAAGCCGACTGGATCACGTGAGCTTTGATGACAAATCACATTACAGCTATGACGTCTGTCAGAGATATGCGACGGTCAGCGGTTATTTATTTATTTGTGTATACTCAAGATTATTTTGGATTGATGTTTCTAACTTTATTTCAAGGACATTTGGTACACCAATACAAATTGGGTTATATGATGTTATACTTGCTTTTGTACAAGATGGAATTGATTCAAAAACATGTTTTCTTATACAACTAATAATATTACTTGGAAAATACCATATCCATGTCAAGAAATGGGCCAAAGCTAAGCCAAATTGTGTTCATTTTATAAAGGAGATTAAACAATATGGTACTACATTATGTAACATAAAAAACAGAAAAGCTAAAAAAACATATGAGGCATTATGTAAATTTGATTGAATAAGTTTTTTTATATATAATTATTATCATTATCTTACCTATTCTTTTTTCTACCCCTGGCATGTTTATACATTGTATAACTGAAAGAATTTATTTCATCTTATTTTATTTATTTTTATTATGTTCATAACTGTTGTGAGAGTTATTCTCTTGTACTATGTTTGTAAATACTACAAAAAAAAAAAACAATAGAAAAAAAGGGTTATTTATTCATTTATTTACATATATAAAACGAAATTAATGTTAGATAACAAACACTGACAAATTTGCCGATAGTCTGTCGATTTATTAAACGTCAGCCTTTTTTTATAATGCAGGTTACATAGGTTGTGATACAGAAAAGAAAAGACAGCGCTACATAGGACAAAGATAAAACCAAAACAAAAGTAGAAATGTGAACATTGGACAATCTCCTTTCAGATGCATCTTCCTTAGACAAAGTCAAGATTGACCTGGGAGCAATTCATCAATTGCAGATTTAGAAAAAAAGTCTAATGGAAATGTATAGAAAAATTCATTATTACTAAAATATTGTGAAAACTTGTTCAACTTCTTTATATATATATATATATTATATATATATATATATATATATATATATATATATATAAACTTGACATTAACTTTTTTTTTCTCACCACCCCATGCTAAAAGTACTTGACATTAGAGACATTTTACTTGATTTGGGTCATTTAGGTAGCCTATATCAGTTGTATTCAACCTAAAACCTACAGTAGTCTGTCATAAAAACCAAAACAATACCCATTCTTGTCTTTGGACATTTTTATTAACCAAATTTTTGAATAATAATTAAGTTCATGACATGTTAAATATGTAGTTTAATCTGCTGGTTTTAAACATACAGAATATTAATAAATACAGTTTTGTAACAACCATAACATTACCATTATGTCCTAGGACATCTTTCATTAACTTTTTATTACCGACCATAATTCTTGACTAATGAAGGTACATTTATAACAACTATTTTTTTTGTTAGATTGCTTTATTACCAAACCATGTTGCATACAAATGCATTCAACAGACTGACAGTGTATTGCTGTAGAGGACAAATAAAACACGAGACAGGTGTTTAGAAAGAGTATAGTTTATTTTGTTTGATCTGCAAACTTATCTAAACAAGATAAACTGTCAGAAAACAGCTCGGAAACATTATAATGCGCCCTCATGAATATAACCCGCTGCGGATTTCTGCTGCAACATTCAGATATTAGGGTCAGAATTTGGCACCAACAGCATGAAAGCATGGATCCATCCTGCCTTGTGTCAATGGTTCAGGCTGCTGGTGGTGGTGTAATGTTGTAGGGGATATTTTCTTGGCACACTTTGGGCCCATTAGTACCAATTAAGCATCATAACAATGCCACAGCCTACCTGAGTATTGTTGCCGACAATGTCCATCCTTTTATGACCACAGTGTACCCAGTTTCTGATGGCTACGTCCAGCAGGATAACGCGCTATGTCATAAAGCGTGAATCCTCTCAGACTGGTTTCTGGAACATGACAATGAGTTCACTGTACTCAAATGGCCTCCACAGTCACCAGAGCTCAATCCAATGGAGCACCTTTGGTATGTGGTGAAACGGGAGATTCGCATCATGGATGTGCAGCTGACTAATCGGCAGCAACTGCGTGATGCTATCCTGCCAATGTGGACCAAAACCACTGAGTATTCCCAGTATTTGTTGAATCTATGCCACAAATGATTAAAGCAGTTCTGAAGGCAAAACGGGGTCTAGCCTGGTAGTAGTAAGGTGTACCTAATAAAGTGGCCGGTGAGTATATCTTAAAATGTAAAAATAAAATCAGCAGTAGTAAATGTATTTATACTTATATGTCAGTACTTCAGCCTGTAATTTGTATATATATTTATAAGGAGCAGTGAAAAGTAGACTAATATACATCAATTTTCTTATTTTATTGCATTAAACTTTTTGCAAGGGGTTGGTCAGCTTTTCTTCTTAAAAAAGGATCCTTTTACAGCTGGTTTGTAAATGTCTGATGGCAGACATATTTGACATTTCTATGTGCAACAAAACCAGAATGACTTTTATGATTAGACAGTCTGTTTGTGATGGAGGGGCAAGTCTGACCTATTTTTGTAATGTTTGGTCTGCTATCGGGGGTCTTACATAACAGCACCGATCCACTGACCGAGTTAAGCTTTCAGAGGGGCGTGGCGCTGCCTTGTCATGGAAAAACCCCAACATTCACTATTACTTTCATTTCCGAATACGTAATTAAATTAAATCTATTACACACATAGTTTATATAAAAATAGCATCATGCTGCAGCTTTACATTCACGCGTACGTGGAGATCGTGCGTCACACGCAGACCACTGTCACAAAGGGCTAAAAGAGTCGATTCCATAAAAGAATCAATTCTGAAGCTTTAAGAAGAGAGTCGATTCTGTTTGGAATTGATTAGATCAAGAGAAAGCAACTCATCTTCAACAGACGCATTCAATTTAAGCTAATCACTGGCTCTCGCTTGCTATTGATCAAAAGCCCAAAGACATTTACGTAAACAGAATAGCCTAGTTCGTTACTTAATGAAGTGGTTCAAATAACAATTTCAGTGATTCTTTCATGCCATCGTGTCATTTTTAATAACTTGTTATATGATATTCATGCTAAACCAGTAAAATAAAGCCATATTTAAACGTGTATATTGCTGACAATGACCTCTTCTTCGTTTAAATTAATTATTTTTCTCACTCAACTCAACTTATTTGGGGGGCGTTCAAATGTAAGCGTTTCATTTACATTTTTTGGGGTGAACAAATCCCCTTTAACTGTGTTTTTCAGTGTTATAACGTTATAATTATTATTACATGTTCTTTCAGTCATCATGCAATAAAAACGTGCCTGACTAAGCTGATCTTTATAGCTTATTTACTACGGTCACGCGTTGAGAGAAAAGAAATGAAGAAGAATCATTGCGAGGAATCGATTCACAAACCAGGACTCGGACTCGGAATCGATTCCAGCGTCTATAAATTTAAAAGTCAGATCGAGCGGTTGTGTAAGAGCGTCCCGCCGCCAGAGGGGAGGAGCCACGCCTCAAATACACATCGCTTTTGTATTTATGCTTAACATTAGAAAGAATTCGCTCGAAAATAAACTTTGAGGCTCCAGAATTTAAACCACACACACCTCTGTATATTAAAGCTAATCTGTATGGAGCTGGATCGGCGACTCTTGCTGGCCCACTGCGCCGCACACACCCTGTCGGTGCTCGCTGGGCTGATGGTGGTTGTCCCGCTGGCGCTGAACGGATCCGCGTTTAAGGGCCGGTGCGCGCTGTTTAGCCAGGGATTCTGGAGGATGGAGAACCTGACGGTGGCCGAGGGAGAAACCCGGGAGGTCAGTCATCTGGTGGTGCAGCAGTGGGGTCCTCCGGCCGCCTGTCAGTTCGCCACTTTCGTCGGGATGTTTAGCGTTCTGTACGGGGCGGTCCAGGGCTGGAGAAGTTTCTTCTATCTACACCGGCGGCACGACGAGTGAGTGAGCTAAACAACTAACGTACTACTGAAAATACTACTGGGGTAAAGATGGTTTTATATTCGCACATTCAGACTTTCTCCTTGATATTATGTATTGAGAAAAGTGTTTTGTACCAATTCTAAATAGGGAAAAATATATAAGCAGCCAAAGGCTATTAAAGTACATTTGCTCACAGTCAATTAAATAGTGCTAATGTTGCTTTGAAGCCACACTTACATGCTATTTCTGACCGAATATTCAACGTAGCATGGTAAACTGAGGTAAAATTGGTTTTATATTCGCACGTTCTGACTTTCTCCTTAATAATATAATTTCAGAAAAGTATTCTTTGCAAATTCTAAATAGTGAAATCGTATTAGCAGCCAATGATTTAACAAAGTACAACATAAATAGTGCTAATGTTGTTTCAAAGTCATACTTATATGCAATTTAAGACTGAATATTCAAAGTACCATGGTAAACAATATAGGGAGGTTGTCACGAACGAATGCACAAAAATAAAACAAGTTTAACTCAATAACAAGTCAGGTAACTTGTCACTGAACGAATGTGTGAATATAAAACTTTACCAGGGTTAGTAAGGGTGCTGGAAATATTTGAATTTGAATCTAGTGTTTTTAAGGTTTGAAAAGTGCTTAGATTTTTGGATGAAGTGTTTGCAACTGCTATTGTTTTCATGATATTTTCTGATTAAAAGGTAATAAAATTATCTATTTAAATAAAATAATAAAACATAAAATAAATATACACAAAATGAAAACTATGGCGTGCATTTGCCTAAAATTAATGTTATAAAATTATTTGCAAGTGCATTTGCATTTGCTTAAACAGTGTGAGAAAACAAAATGCATAAAGATTATCACTTCATGAGTGAACAATTCATGAAATTAAAGTAAAAATACATTTTAAATGAAAGATGGCATTTAGATTTTGGGTAAATTACATTTTAGAGAGTAAGTGACAGTAATTTAATGTTGGGCTTGGGGCAAACATGCCTTTAAATACTATATAGACTACTATAGCTTCTGTTATATTGTGACGAGGTATGACATTCGGCACATTTGTAAAGTGCTGGAAGAGTTATAAAATGTTTGAAAGGGCTTGAAAAGTATATATATATATATATATATATATATATATATATATATATATATATATATATATATCTGAAAATGTAACAATATAAACCTGCAATTACAACATAACAATAAAAAAAAGGTTATTTGCATTATTGTTTATAATAGAAAATAGATTCGTTTTTCAGGTATATTAGTATAAACTTGTATATGCACATTAGTTGGCACATTATTTGTATGTACTTATATATAGTAAGCTCATTAGCAAATTATAACGTAATTGATGTCATATAAAAGGAATAAAATTATTATTTTTTTAATGTTGCCTTCTGTTTATCCAGCACTCTGTTCTCTGCATTCCTGACACTGCTGCTGAGCTTGTGTGTGCTTTTCCTCTCTGGAGGAGCCAGTGTGACCCTCAGCCTGGGCCTCGTGTCCTGGTGCAACACTGTTACTGACCAAAACACCAGACCCTACAGGTACACACTGCTGCTTTCAAAATACACTGTCGTAAAGAAGGTTAAAATTATTAAATGCATGCTCTGTTTATACTGAATAATAATATTTATTGTATACTGTTGATTGTGCATTTGTTTCTTGAGTGAATTAAATGCCTATATCATGTTATTAAAGTAACAGAGGCCTTACAGTTGTATTAAAGTTGTATAATAATATTCAATGTATACTGTTAATGCTTCATGTTTTATGAAAAAAATAAATATCCACATCATGCTATTACAGTCATGTTATTACAGTGTATAGACTCGGATTATGGATCAAAAATGAAATGCATGCTCTATTAATATTGTATAATAACATTTAATGTATACTATTGATTGTGCATGTTTCATGAATGAATTAGATCTCAGCACATCATATTGTTACAGTCACAAAGAGGCTTTATATACTAATTAACAGTGATTATAGTAAACAATTTTTTTATAATAATATTCAATGTTTACTTTTGATATTTCATGAATGAATAACCACATCATCTCATCTCATTTTCATCTGCTTTTTCGGGGCCGGTTCACAGGGGCAGCAGTCTTACGTGACATGACCCATATCATGAGTTTTATTAATGAATTAAATACCCACATGATATTACAGTCACATTATTAATTTATACACCTAGATTAAAACATAATGATTAAAAATATTAATGCATGCTCTATTAATATTTAATAATAATATTTACAGTATACTATTGATTGTGCATATGTTTCATGAATAAATGAAATGTCTATGTCATGTTGTTATTATTATCTAGTCTGATATGTAACGATTGCCTCTTGCTCTGCAGTTGTGCCGAGTCTCAGTCTGTTCCACTTTATCTGGACGTTGAAACATCCTCTTTCTACTCTGAGCTCAATTGTGCGCAGGTAAAGTGTCTCGTATTTCAGTCTGTCTCAGTTAAACACAAGATGCATATTTTTACATGTTATCTTCTGTTTTTTCACAGATCTCTCTGTGGTGTGTAACAGCTTTATGGTTGGCTCAGTCTATTTTGTCCTTCCTGAGGCTTTATCATTCCCACAGTCAGCAGATCAGCAGACCGTGTATATCCAGAGAGAAGGAACTCCTCCTGGGCCAGGCTCAAGCGGAATGTCCCATTCATCACCCGCATCCACACCCGCACCCTTCACACACTCCCAGTGTGTTTATTTAGCCGTACAGTGTTGCACTTTGAAGCCTAAAGTATACTCAGTTTTTATTGTATACACACAGCCTTTTAAAGTCCGTATATCAAAATTTACAATGCTTATTTTGCTAGCACACATTGAGTATGTTTACATGGACACCAATAATCAGATTTTAAAACGATAAAGACGATACTCTGATTAAGAGACGACCATATAAACAGCGTTAAATTAATCAGATTTAGGTCATAATCGAACTACACAGATAGGGAATTAAGACGTGGAGTATCTGATTTTAGTCACATTATTGAAGTGCAGTGCAGACATGTAAACACCGCAATCAAACACATTTTTTGACAGGATAATCTATACACACACGGCCGTTTGACAGTATTCTCTGCACCTACTGAGTCAGTGAAGGACCACAGACACCTGCATTGCGAAATGCGAATGTTTTTCTTTCCATTCGGCGTGCAGTATCAAATTCCATTAAAACAACACTCTTCCAGCAGTTCATGCTTGCATCCAATATCTAGTTTGTCATGGAAGCATGCATGACATGTTCCTGAATGAAAGTAAAAGTACCAAACTGCAGTTAAAGTCGACAAATTTAGAATGAAACACCCAAAATTACATGAAATTCCAGAGGAAATGTATATAGTGCGGTGACGCAATGACGTTAATTCAATTATGTGCTATAACATGTCAAACGGCATCATGAGAGGATTTAAAAAGCAACTCATTTAAACACCTTAATCATATTATTGTGGCAAATAATTTGACTACTGGTGTCCATGTAAACGTAATCATTGTTAATCTTAAGGTGACCAATTTATCAGTGCAAGTAAATCTAATTAAAACTGTTTGTTTTGGTAGTCTTTAATCAAAATGGAACCATTTGGTCTGGAATGGCTGATGATGTCAGCTTGACCGAGTAGGTGGAATATGCTTAGCCATGCACCTCCAGCCTTTAGTTTGAGTTAAGGTCTTTGCACACTAAATCCAAAATTATCTTCCGTAAATTTTACATTTTTGTAAAAAATTATTTGACCTCAAATTATATTGATATGCTGCCTCCGAAACTTATGTGTGTCATTAAAAATCTAGAATCGTGTTACATTTTTTTTACGAAAAAGTGTTTGAGAGGTGTTTTGATAGAGAGGGTTTTTTCAGAGCCACTGTACAAGCGAAAGCCAAAATATAGAATGCCATCACTTGACCAGCACAGATCACTTTATAACAAATGCAGTGCATAAATTAATATAAAAACAGAATGTGGCGGACAAAAAAAAGAAATACGAAAAAACAGAAAAAAATTGTAGACTTCAGTGAGCAAAGACCTTTAAAGTGAAAGTTCAGTTATTTATAAAGCACATTTAAAAACTGTCACAAAGGACTGTACTTAAGACAATTCTGAAAACATAGACATAAAACCAAGAGAAACAACAGAATGAACTTTAAAATAAAGCAATCAACAAAACTATTATAAAATTATTATTAAAAAAGCCAAACAGAACAGGTATGTTTTGTTTTTAAAAGTGGTTTAAAAATAGATAGTGATGGTGCCATTCTAAGAGGATAAGAAGGGTACAAATATAAAATCCCACCCCCTACTCTATATTCCATTTCATTCTGAATAAAAAGTTCATGTGGATTTTGAACTAAAGAGTGCATTAGTTTTCACCCCCGTTTTTCCCCACAGGGATTAAAAAAAAAAATTTTTTTTGTTAAAAGTGCTCTAAGCTATAAGCCAAACTGCTATGAAGAGAATCGCAACAAAGTCAAAAATATATGTAAAATATACAAAAAGGCAAACATGAGACTGTGAACTCAATTTATTTAATAAAAGATTAACCAAAATAACCTAGATCTTGTCACTTTAAGCTGAATACTAGTGTCTTGAAAAAATATCTAGTCAAATATTATGTACCGTCATCAAGGCAAAGATAAAATAAATCCGTTATTAGAAATGAGTTATTAAAACTATTATGATTAGAAATGTGCTGAAAAAAGATCTTTTTGTTAAACTGAAATTTGGGGAAAATATACAGGGGGGCTAATAATTCAGGAGGGCTAATAATGTAACCGTGAACCCAACATCTTTAATTAAAGAAATATGAACTAAAGATCTAAAGATGCTTTCAGCTCTTGGCTCAGTGCAATTCTCTGATTGGTCGTATTTTCTGTGCGGCATCATGGGTAATGTAGTTTTTCTGCACCGATTCTGCTATTAAATTGTTTTAAAAACAAGTTGAATTTATGTGAAGAGATGGGTTCATCAAAAGCATCTACAATCGATTAACAACTTTAACGCTATCAGTTACTGTTTAAAAACAATCCATATGAAGAAACTGAATGGGGTTTTTACTTTATTGAATATAACAGCGTGCTCACTATTGGTTGCTCAGTAGTTTGATGTTGTTGTCCTCCAGTTCTTTCTGACTGTGAAACAACAGCCTGATTCAGGGTTGACACCTTGTGGACAGACTAAGTAGTGACGTGTTGAATTGGGTTGCGTGTTTACAGTACTACAAGCTTAAAAACTGAAGTATACTTTGGGCTTCAGGCTGATCTAAGGCCAGTTTTAGCGATCAAATGAAGGAAGAAGACAACTGGTCGTAAATTAGCAGAAAAGGGAATTAACTCCTAACCTAAACTGACAATCCCAGCAGTTCTCCTGCATGTTACTCAAAAAATAACCTCAGTATTACTTTTGCTGTACTTGCTCGATGTTTTATTTTCCTCCTGTAGCTTTTGATGTTTACTTGAATCGAGGTCAAATGTTTTGTGCGCAGCTTTATAACTTTGCCATAACAAATGTCAAAGGATTCTCAAGTGTATTGCACTATTAATTCATCACGCTTGCATATATGCAAGATATTGTCTGTGTGTTGAGCCATATAATGTGAATCTGAATGAATCAGAAGATGTGATGCTCAGTTTGTACTGTGAATGTTTTTTTTTTTTTTTTTGCGTAATGAATGGTACTTTTACTCCAGCCAAACGTTCTTGTAGTAACCCAGTGAAGGTTTTTTATATGAAGCTGTTTGTGTTGATGCAGCCTCCTAGCTAGTTTAGCATTGTGATGGAAATTGGACGATGGCTTGTAAGGAATGTTGCTCATCCTTTCCGAATCCTGAACCTTTAACCCGGAGGACTGTTGTGAAGCACAAACAGCTGAATAAAAACCGTGAGGGAGATGCTGTTCATTTATGGCTTGGAAATGTGATCATTGCTGATGCTTGTGTTTTACACGGCTGTTTACATCTAGTATGTGCTATTTATAAGCTGTTCAGGTAAAGATAATACAGCATTGGATCAGTTGTGTTGCATTGTGTTGGTTGCACCTCAACAATAAAGTTCAGTAGTAACCATTAATGTTTTATCTATTGAGCAATGTCTTAAAGGCACAGTGTGTAGTTTTCGCCACTAGAGGGCGCATATTCACAACAAACAAAAGCAGAGTTCGATGATGCCAAAAGAAAAATATTGGTAAAAGTGATGACATTAGAGGTCCCATGAAATTAAAATACACTTTTTTTTTTTTTTAAAGATGTAAGTGTCAGTATTGTTAGTTTTTAGGATATCTATAAGCTAGAGTAGAGCTGAAGATCTTTGCCCGAACCAGTTGGGGTTTAATTTCTATCATTTTAGACAGGGTCGGGCTTGGGCTTGCGCAGTAAATGAATAGTCATGTGATGCATTTCGATTAGCGTGAGAAAGTAATCAAATCGATTGTTACAACCAGGGGCGCAACTGCACATTTGCTGACGGGTATGTGGCTTCAACTTTTGCGCACCCCCCTTCAATCCAACTAAATTTTATAACAGGCAAGTGATAAAATGTGGAAAATATTTCCATCAATAAATTAAAGATATTTTTTCATAAAGATATCAATATGCTTCAAAAAATACAGTTTCGCAGTTCTGAACACAACTGAAATAGTATGAAGTAGTAAAAGGTATAATTACATTAAGCATGTTAAGTCGCAAAGAAATGCATCTGATACCACCCCAAATTTCTTCTCAATTTAATTTTCCCTCACTAAATGATTATATCACCTTGACTAGCCTTGCTTTTGGACTTTTTGTACTACATTTGTCAAAACAAAATGATAGACATGGGAGTCCTAAAGGGCAAAAGAACATTGCAATTACTTCTCACATGCATACTGTGAGAAGTGTAAGGTCTGTCTTTGCAAGAACAATTGACTGAAACTGCTAAAAGTTAAATAAAAAAGACTGTCAAATGTTTAGTGTAAAAAAAAAAAACAGAAACAAGCAAAAGTTCTATTTAATTGAAATGTTATAACTTTGTTTGTAGCTAAAATTAAAATAGTTTTGAGCTAAGAAATTACCAAAAGGCCTGATGAATCACTATGATACATAATAAATTCATAAAAACATGTATATGGTATGAAAAATGGGGGTGGGGGGTGAAATGATTTTTTAATTTAATAAAATACAATATTATACGCATATAAAATGCTAAATAAACATTTTTACCAAATATATATATATATATATATATATATATATATATATATATATATATATATATATATATATATATATATATATATATATATATATATATATTGAAACTTTTAATATGGATAATTTCAAAAATAGTTTTGGCACAATGGCGCCCCCCATGTGTGGCGCCCCTATGCGCCGCATATACTGCATACCCCCTTTTTGCGCCACTGGTTACAACATTAAAATCCATCCATGCAAAGGTAAAACAAATGATGACGGAGAAGTTAAAAAGAGCGGATTTTGACTGCGGTCAGGCCAGCCGCCAGTCCAACAAGCACGGTCATTCTAGCCGCCAAGGTCTTTCGGCGGTCACTCATACACTGCGTATTAAGGTAGATCGCTAAACAGAAATGTAAACGCATTGCAATGTATGTACAGCAAGCTGACAGGGAAGATGACGAGGTCACTCACTACATTGAAATTGCTGTCATGGAAAATGAAATGGATGTTCTTGGCTGGTAGAAGATGAACTAACAATCCTACCTAAAACTTGCAAAATTAGCCAGATCAAAACTCTGCATCTCGGCCTGTGGCAGCAGCAGTGATAGGGTGTTCGATGCTTCAGGACGCACCATGCTGAGCGCAGGACTGCGCTAAAGCCATTAACAGTGGATTCAATAATGTTCCTCCACAAAAACATGTAGCCTAATCTTTGTGAGTAAAGGGCTTTTAAATTATAAATAAATATTAATTAAACCATAAAATCATAATGTAGATAGAGGATACAGGCTAATGTTGGCATTATTCTTTTAAAATTCAGCTTCCCTGTCACCTTAAGGCCAGATTGTGAAGAGAATTGGCTAAATAAATCCTGCAGAGCCTTTATCTTTATTTCATTATTGCCAAGTACTCATCACCATTTAACATTCATTTTAATTTAATTTGCTAAGAAAGACTTAATTTATTGATGTGTTGGCCAATTTAAAGGCTAAATGTACGCAGGCCTAGTTAGAGTGCTGAGATTACGATGTTACAGAGGATTTACAGATACAGATACTCATCCTGAGGTCCTTAGATTATGCGGAGTCACTGATTGGATCCAAGACAAGCGACGAAATGATTCGAAGGGGTCCATATCCGGGACCAGGCCGTATCTTGAGGTGCTGCTGCGCTGGTGGTCATGGGGGAGTGGAGAGCATGAGACTGATTCCAGTGACGCTCCAGGGACAGACGAGTCTTCGCTGAGGCCAGCTTCCAGCCTCCACCTCTGAGACTGCAGCTCTGCACAAGACTTTTGGCCAGCGAAGGAATTAAAATGGTCGTGCCGAATAGAGTCTGGTTTCTCTCAAGGTTTTTTTTTCTTCACTCTCCTATCGGTGGTTTTTTTTCCCTCTCTGCTGTTGCCTCTAGCTTGCATGGTTCAGGATCTGTAGAGCTGCGCATCGATTAATTTGCTCTTCAGTGTTTGGACTCTCAGAAATGATTTTAAACCAGCTAAACTGAACTGAACTAAACACTAAAAACTGAACTACCCTGATCCAGTTACTATGACCATTTATGTGAAGCTGCTTTGACACAATCTACATTGTAAAAGGGCTATACAAATAAAGCTGAATTGAATTGAAACTTAGTTTAGTTCTTTGTTCCAATTTATGTAAATAATGTTAAAACACATATAAACGACTCATTCTTCAAAAAAGACAAAAGAGCTGTGTGACTGTGTACATTTGAATAATGTCAGGCTATAAACTGGTTCGGGCTTCATAAAGCTGGTAATCAAAATATACCTGTCGGGCTCGGGCCCTATCGGGCCTAATTTTTATGGCCCGATTATAGTTCTAAGCTAGAGTGCTCCTAAGGTAGTCAAGCACACTCACATCAATCTGGCAACCTGCATTTGAGTGAACACGTCAGAGGAGGAGCCAAGTTAAAATTTGTTTTGATCCAGGAGTGCAATACCAAGGGCTCTATCATACACCCGGCGCAATGTGGCGCAAGGCGCAGTGCAATACTTGTTTGCTGGTTTCAGCTTGGCGCAAGTAAATTAAGTCTACGCTGTTTAAATAGCAAATGCATTAGCGCTCATTTGTGCGCCCATAAGCGTTCTGGTATAAAAAGGAAGACGTTCTGAGGCGCACTGCTGGCGCGTTGCTATTTTGAGAAACTAAAATAGATTTTTCATTAGAACAAACAAACCCGGTCTAAACTCCGGCGCAGAGTTGTGCCTCGCTTACACACTGCTTAATACGCACAAGAGAGCAATAGGCAAATATCTTTACATATGATAAAAATGTAAATATTAAGGATATATATAGGATATAATAAGAATAGATATAGAATATAAATATAAAGGATTAAAATATTACAAGACATTATTTTATAGCCAACATAAATATGAAAAATCACTGCTTTTATGTCTTCTTCATCTCGGGAAGCTTTTTTAGTTCATTCTTAACAATTTGCTTTTGTATAATGTTATTATTATTAGCAGTATTATTTATTATATCCATATTTATATTTGTTTTATTAAAAACAAGCTTATTTGCCCACCTGTCAGGTTTTAGACCATAAGGGGCACAGCATGCGTTTTAGGATATAAGTCAGGTTTTTGAGCACACTTCGTTATTATTGTTCATTTATTCGTTTGCGCTTAACAAACGCAATTAATTATTTATAGACTAATTGATGTCTGTGCGTAAAGGTTTCCCTATCCAAGAGCGAAAGTGATCCATTATCTCTCATTCTCACGCAGTAGATGCTCTGTTTAAGAGTTTTCTGTTAAAAAAAACTGTTTGCTTGTGAAATGCTCAGTTTTTCCACTTAGACTTACTTTGCGTCCTGTAAATAGCGAATGCGCTTATGGCGCGACGCATCTGGCTCTTAAAGGGAATGGGAGATGAGACTCTAATTGGTTTATTCTCAAAACACACCTATAACTCATTAAGAAAATAAACTCAACCCTTTTAGACCATGCGCCATGGCGTAAAGCAGATTTTCCCGTCCGTAAATTAGCAAAAATGCGTTCTGACACGCCCTGAAAGCGTTTGCGCCCTGCGTTTTGCGCTCTGCGCATGGACCGTCAAAATAGAGCCCCATGTGTCAAACGTACATACTTCACCTTTAACACCAAAGAATTATTCAGTGGTTAAAAAAGCACACTTCTTCAAAAAAGTACAATTTCAAATTGTATATTTGGTTAATATAGCCAAAGAAATATGAATACTTGAGGGTTAAAACTGTACAAGTACACATAAAAACAATAGTAAAGTATTAAGTGCGACATGCAAATAAGCACAAAGTTAATTACATTGTCATTAAAGTGCATTCACCGACCATATAATAACAACAGAATCAGAATTTAATATAATGCTGCACTTACCTACTATTAATACCCTTATTGTTCATAATAATTTGTGTGTTTTTATTATACCAAAGTTATTTAATATAAGGCCTTGTTTTCTCCCTGTCAGTAAACACTGTGGTTATTACTATATCAGCAGCTGAAGAATGGCTCAGCGGTTAAGGAAAAGGTTTAGCTGGTTAATATTGCTCAGAGTGTTGCAGTGTTTGTCCTCCTCAACACTGGCAGTATCTGAAATCATCTCTACACCCTTATTCACTATTCTCTACAGTAGTCCACTAATATAGAAAAGATGCCGTTTTGTTTGTGCTTTGCTTGTTGATAAATCCCTCATCCTCCTGGTCAGCCCCTGTGATAGTTATATACTTGTGAGCTGTCCATTAGTAATGGAATGAAAGTATTGTGGTTTCTGTCATGTATACAAATGCTGATAATTAAACAATTAAATAATTATTCTTTTAGAAACGTACACAGATAGGATTCCCATGTGGACGCCGCCTTGTGGTCTGATGCAGAAATTCATTTGCCGCACAAACTCTCACAGTGGAATATTAATAATAATTATGGGTACTTTTGCCAGTGTGTGGAAGTCCATATCCTCCAGGCAAGAAAAAAATTAATAAAGACAATTATCAAGATTTGCGTGCAACAAGTAAGTCAAAATAACAAAAGTTTCTCGTAATTTGAGAAAGTTTATCATTATTTTGAGAAGGTTTCTCATTATTATGAGAAAATAATTCAGAATTTCAACTTTAAAAGTCAGAATTTGTACTTTAAGAAAAATATTTGACTTTTGTCTTATAATTTCTATTTTAGAAATCATACTTTGGACTTAAAAAGTCAAAACGATCACTTTCTAAGCCATAATTTCAACTTTGTTGTAATTTCAATTTATGCCGTAATTTAGATTTTTTAAATCTCGTAATTTAAATCTGCTAAGTCATCATTTTTTTATCTCATAATACCAACTTTCTAAATCATAATTTAATTACTGTCATAATTTCTACTTTTTAAGTCAGAGTGTAAACTATTTATCTCATAATTTAAATTTGCTTAATAATTATTTCAACTTTTAACTCATAATTTGTTCAGTATATCTCATTATTTAACTTTACAAATCATACATTTGACTAAGTCAGAATTTCTACTTTTTATTTCATAATTTTAATTTGTTACATCATAACTTCTAATCAATAATTTAACTTTTTAAGTCATTATTTGGACATTTTATCTTAGAATCTTAACTCGCTAAGTCATAATTTAAATGTTTTATCTCATACCAACCTTATAAATCATAATTTTGACTAAGTCAGAATCGAAACTTTTTCTATCTTTTTATTTCAATTTGCTAAAACACAATTTCAACCTTTTTATGTCATAATTTCATAGTTTTGTCTCATTATTTTGACTTTACAAATCATAATTTTAACCATAAATCATAATTTTGACTATCTCATTTAGAATTTTTAAGTTATAATTTTGACATTTTGTCATAATTTCAACTTGCTAAGTCATAATTTAAATGTTTTTTTTTATCTTATGCAAACCTTTTAAACCACAATTTTGACTAAGTGAGAATTTTAACTTTTCTATCTCATAATTTCAATTTGCTAAATCAAATTTTCAACTTTTAAAGTTAGAATTTTTATTTTTATTCTAATAGTTTTGACTTCAGAATTTAAGTCATAATTTAATTTTTTTTCTCATATTTTCAGTTTGCTACATTATAATTCAGACTTTTTAAGTCATAATAAAAAAAAACAATTACAATTTTTAAAATTTTGACTACCATAATTTTTTTACATCATACTTTTTATTTTTTATCTCATAATTTGACTTTTTAATAAATTATTTATTAATTTAATAAAATGTTATCTCATAATTTCAATTTGCTGAAGTTTTTATCTCATACAAACTTTATAAATCAGAATTTTGACTGCCATAATGTCTACATTTTACGTCATAATTTTGACTTTTTATTTCATGATTAGATTTTTTTAAGTCATAATTTTGACATTTTATCTCATAATTTCAACTCGCTAAGTCAAAATTGAAATGTTTTTATCTCAAATCAATTTTATAAATAATAATTTTGTCTAAGTCAGAATTTCTTTCCTTCTTTTTATCTCATAATTTGACTTTTTAAGTCATAAACTGGATGTTTTATCTCATAATTTAAATGTTTTATCTCATACAAACCTTATAAATCATAATTTTGACTGTCAAAATAATCTCATAATTTAAATTTGCTGAATCATAATTTCAACTTTTTATCTCATAATTTTGACAGTAAATCAGAATTAAAACTATTCTGTTTGAAAATGTGTCATAATTTCGTCATAAGTCATAACTTAGTTATATCATTATTTAAATTTGCTACATCATAATTCTGACTTAGTATCTCATAATTTAGACTACATAATTTCAGTAATTTTAGTAAAGTAAATTAGAATTTAGACTTTTTTTTTAAATAAATCTCATAATTTCAACTTTTGACTCATAATTTGGACATTTTATCTCATAATTTCAACTTGCTAAGTCATCATTTTATTCCAACTTTTTTAAATAATAATTTTGACTAAGTCAGGACTTCTTTCTTTCATTTTATAACATAATTTCAATAAGCAAAATCATAATTTCAACTTTTTAAGTTATCATTTAGACTTTACAAATCACAATTTTGACAGTAAAATAGAATTTAGACTCAAAATTTCAACTTTTTAGTCACAATTTGGACATTTTATCTCATAATGTTGACTTTTAAAGGCAGGCTTTTTTTTTTAACCTGGCAGAAAGGGACTTCCATATCATTGACCGTACATCGATTTTCCCCTAATATTGCTGTGCTTTGATTAAACATCCACCACTATGGTTTAAAGCACCACTACAAATGGCTGCTCCCTCAAACAGTGCACTATTAAAGGGTATAGGTGTTGATTTCAGACACAGCCACTGTTTGCACCGTCGTCTGCAGCTGATTAAACTCCTCTCGTCTTCATCACAGGCCCTTGTTGTAAGTCAGCACCTTGCAATCTGTTGCCATGGCAATTTCCGGCTCAAGGTGAGATGCCTCGATCTGAGGAGCAAAGAATGATTAGCAAGCAAAATATTTCTCATGCAGAGCACACACGCAGGGGAAGATTAATGGCAAGAGGTGGACAGGCGAAATGAAAGGCGCTGCATTGAGTGTTTACTGTAGAAGCGATGCAGGATTTGCTGCAGTACCTCTGACATCTGAGGAAAGAGGCTGATGGCCAGCGGCAAGGACAAACCAAAGACCAGAAGACAAACCAGACTGTGTACGGGCAGCATCAGCCTGCGACGAGCCTGCAGTAGAGGAAGCCTGACGGAGGACAGTAAGAGTCCAGATGAGCAGATGTTTACTGTTATTTACTATGGTACAGTACAATAGTGGCTGATGTACAGTTAAAGTCAGAATTATTAGCCCTTCTGTATATTGTTTTCCCCAATTTTTGTTTAATGCAGAGAAGATTTTTTCAACATAATTTATAAATAAAATATATAAAACATATTTTACCAGATATTTTTCAAGGTACTGGTATTCAGCTTAAAGTGACTTTTTTTAAAAGCTTAACTAGGTTAATTACTGTAGGCGGTAATCACTAAGCGAGTTGGGATAATTACAGCAAGTCATTGTTTAATGATGGTTTGTTCTGTAGACTATCGAAAAAAATATTGCGTATGGGGGCTAATAATACTGACCTTAAAATGGCTTAAAGAAATTAAAAACTGTTTTTATCCTAGCCGAAATAAAACAAATAAAGACTTTCTCCAGAAGAAACAATATTATAGGAAATATAACTGCGCTGTTAAACATCATTTGGGAAATAATTGAAAAAGAAAAAAAAAATCCAACTGTATAGGCTGATTTACTGATAAATGAAAGCCAGTATTATTATTTTTATAGATTAATTTAGTCATTTTAACACATTATACATGTGTTTTATAAGGTTTTTATTGTTTTTTCATATTGGTGCATCCCTAATAAATGCGGGACATCTCCCACCTTACTGTATAATAAATTTATAATTACAGTTGAAGTCAGAATTATTAGCCCCTATGAATTATTAGCGCCCCTGTTTATATTTTTCCCCAATTTCTGTTTAATGAAGAGCAGATTTTTTTCAACACATTTCTAAACATAATAGTTTTAATAACTCATTTCTAATAACTGATTTATTTTGTCTTTGCCATGATGACAGTAAATAATATTTGACTAGATATTTTTCAAGACACTTCTATACAGCTTAAAGTGACATTTAAAGGCTTAACTGGTTTAATTAGGTTAACTAGGCAGGTTATTGCAATTAGGCAAGTTATTGTATAACGATGGTTTGTTCTGTAGACTATCCAGAAAAAAATAGCAAAGGTAATAATAATTTTGTCCTTAAAATGGTGTTTAAAAATGAAAAATTGCTTTTATTCCAGCCGAAATAAAACAAATAAGACTTTCTCCAGAAGAAAAAACATTATCAGACATACTGTGAAAATTTCCTTGCTCAGTTAAATATAATTTGGGAAATATTTAAAAAGAAAAAAACATTTAAAGAGGGGCTAATAATTCTGACTGAACTGTATGCATGAATGTGCAAAGTAGCAAAAATGTTTTCAGATGTTTATATTCATTTGAAGACAAAATTTTGTGAAATTCCTCTAATTTTAATTCACAACAAAGACAAATGTGCTATTCTGACCAATAAATTATCTAAAAACAATGCTCTATATTACTATTTTATTTAATAGTGCAATAACATTTCACAATTTTTACTTTATTTTTGATTAAATAACTTGAGCCTTGGTAAGCAGGATAAGCTTTTTTATTTTAAAACATTTAAAAATGCTACTGACCCCAAACTTTAGACCGGTAGTATATATACAGTTGAAGTCAGAATTATTTGCCCCCCATTTTTTATATATATATTTCTCAAATTCTGTTTAACAGAGCAATGAAATTTTCACAGTATGTCTGATAATATTTTTCTTTTGAAGAAAGTCTTATTTGCTTTATTTTGGCTAGAATAAAAACAGTTTTAATTTTTCAAACACCGTTTAAAGGTCAAAATTATTAGCCTCTTTAAGCTATATATTTTTTGATAGTCTACAGAACAAACCATCATTATACAATAACTTGCCTAATTACGCAAATCTGCCTAGTTAACCGAATTAACCTAGTTAAGCCTTTAAATGTCACTTTAAGCTGAACAGAAGTGTCTTGAAAATGTCCAGTCAAATATTATTTACTGTCATCATGGCAAAGATAATTCTGACTTAAACTGTATATATAGTAAACACACAGCGTTCAGCATTAATGAGTACACCCCATTTATTTATCTATTTCTCAGTAAATATAGGTAATATATTGTGGTGTATTTGAACAAAACAGATTTATTTAAAAATATATATTTATTAAAATAACATTTTGTTTTTTAAAATATGTCTAGAAATAGAAAGATAATATTTTTAAATTCAAGAAAATATTGAAAAAAAATTAAAAATTGCAAAAACAAAATTTCAACTAAATTTGATATATTTTTTTGTTTTACTTGATTTTTTTTTGTCTTTTTAAAGTTTGTATGTAATAATTTTTCCAAACATACATTTACATATACAGTTGAAGTCAGAATTATTAGCCCTCCTGATTTACTGATAAATGAAAGCCAGTATTATTATTTTTATAGATTAATTTAGTCATTTTAATCCCTTCCGATGCATTATGCATGTGTTTTATAAGGTTTTTATTGTTTTTTCATATTGGCGCATCCCTAATAAATGCGGGACATCTCCCATCTTACTGTATAATAAATTTATAATTACAGTTGAAGTCAGAATTATTAGCCCTCCTGAATTATTAGCGCCCCTGTTTATATTTTTCCCCAATTTCTGTTTAAAGGAGAGCAGATTTTTTCAACACATTTCTAAACATTATAGCTTTAATAACTCATTTCTAATAAAGGACTTACTTTATCTTTGGCGTGATGACAGTAAATAATAATTTACTTGATATTTTTCAAGACACTTCTATACAGCTTAAATTTACATTTATAGGCTTAACTAGGTTAATTAGGTTAACTAGGCAGGTTAGGGTAACTAGGCAAGTTATTGTATAACGATGGTTTGTTCTGTAGACTAGCGGAAAAAAATATATAGCTGAAAGAGGCTAATAATTTTGACCTTAAAATTAATAAAAAAAAATATATAAAAACTGCTTTTATTGTAGCCGAAATAAAACAAATGAGACTTTCTCTAGAAGAAAAAATATTATCAGACATACTGTGAAAATGTCCTTGCCCTGTTAAACATTATTTGGGAAATATTTAAAAAAGAAAAAAAAATTCAAAGGGGGGCTAATAAATCTGACTTTAACTGTACATCACATACAAATTTTTGTAACATTATCATAGGTTATTTTGTTATATTCCAGATTTGGCTTCAGTACTAACTTAACTAATGTATATGCACAAATAAAATATTGTATTGCATCCTAGTAAAAATATGAATTTAAAAGATAGACTTGTGAGAGATTTACTCATATGTGCTATATTCATTTATTTCACAATCATTAGTCCACCTGTGAAATTTCTTTTTTTATATATATTTCTCAAGGGATGTTTAACAAAGCAGTATTTCCTATTATATATTTATTTTAGTTTGACTGGAATTAAAGAGTTAAAAAATAAATGCTAAGTTCAATATTATTTGCCTCCTAAAAATAATAAAATGGCCCTTTACGTCGCAAAATAGCTAGTAAAATATTATGTACTGTCAAAATTAATTATTTATTAAAAAATGGTTATAATAATGAATATGTTTTAAAAATCTGTGATTTTTTTTCTCTCCGTTAACATTATCATAAGTTATTTTGTTATATTCCAGATTTGGCTTCAGTACTAACTTAACTAATGTATATGCACAAATAAAATATTATTTTTAATTTAAAAGATAGACTTGTGAGAGATTTACTCATATGTGCTATATTAATTTATTTCACAATCATTAGTCCACCTGTGAAATTTATTTTATATATATATATATTTCTGATGGGATGTTTAACAAAGCAGTATTTCCTATTATATATTTATTTTAGTTTGACTGGAATTAAAGAGTTAAAAAATAAATGCTAAGTTCAATATTATTAGCCTCTTAAAAAATAATAAAATGGCCCTTTAAGTCGCAAAATAGCTAGTAAAATATTATGTACTGTCATCAAGGCAAACAAAATTAATTATTTATAAAAAAATTGGTTATTATAATTAATATGTTTTAAAAACCTGTGATTTTTTTTCTATCCGTTAAACAGCACTTAGGAAACATTTGAAAAATTCAACTTTTACATATGATTTATTAAATAAGTAATTATAAAGTAGAATGTAATCATAATCTATTCCTTAATAGATCAAATGCAACTGAAGCAAAAGTAACTTCCTACTTTTCCAAGAAGGCCATTATTATTGGTGGAAGTACAAAGATTGGCAGCGGTAGAGCAACTCGTGTCAGCGCCGTCTCTATCAGTGCCTGAGGAAAAATATATAAACAAAAAACACAAAATGATTTTATGACACAAAAAATGAAAGACAAGACCTAACATTTGTGCATTTGGAAATCATATATAATAATATTAAATATCAATAAAACAATGTGGATAGTGACCTGCTCCAGGAAAACATACGCACATGTTTGGCAGCAATCCGTGAGGATCCCACCACATTCCCATCGCTGTCCAAAACATCGATTCCCTCCGACAGCTCATTGTGTCTCATTAGAGCCACATTGCAGATGTTTGCACTGGCTGAAAATAATAATCGATACATGGATATTAATGGTGAACTTGCTAAATACCCCATGACATCAGGTGTCTAATATATCTTGATAATATTGCATGAATAAAGCGGGGAAAATAAGTATTGAACATGACATGTTTTTTCCTGGGAATAATATTTCTAAAGGAGCTGTTGACATGGAATTGAACCAGATTTTGGTAAAAACTCAAACAATATAAACATAAAAATAAAACAAAACAAAAAAATCTGAAAAATAAGTTGTGTGTAATAACAATGGAATAACACAAGGAGAAAGTGCTGAACTACTTAAAACTTATTTAACACTTTATATAAAAGGCTTTTTTAATGATGGCAGCCTAAAGACGCCTCTCATATGGAGAATGAAGACACATGCATTGCTCAGGCGTCAGTTTTTCACAGACTGTAACAGAGTGTAAAAATCTTGATGGTTCTGTGGGTCTCGTCTATCAAATTTGATCTTTATTTTGTATTCTTTGTTGGATTTAATTCAGATGATTGGCTGGACCATTCTACAGCTTGATTTTCTTTCTCTGAAAGCATTTGAGAGTGTTCCTGGCTGTGTTTTGCATCATTGTCTTGCTGAAATGTCCACCCTGGTTTCATCTTCATCATCCTGCTAATGTAGATGTTGGACTGAAGCAGCTAATATTCATTACACTGAGGAAGGGCAGAAGGTTACTGAAGAACTATTGAGAGATTTCAGCTGCTGTCTGGGCTTTCACTGCCTTTCTACACCTCCTTTCTTCATGTGTTCAATACTATTTCCCTGCATTTTATTAATTACACATAACTTCATTTGTAAACTAATTAAATTAGTTTTCTTTGCATATATGGATTTCATTGATTGCTATCAACATCAGGTGAAAATTTCATGTCAACGGCACTTTTAGAAATATGTTTTCTGAGAAAAAAGGTGACGTGTTCAATACTTATTTCTCCCGCTTTAAGTGAAAATATTCTGATGTAAACTCAGGTTTTAGTATCAACGACTAACTATTGTAGTAAGTATTAACCAATTAAATTATAATTTTTTTAAATAAATAAAAGTTACCTAATTTTTAAGGAAAACTAATAAATATTTCCTTAGCTGAAATAAAACCGCTTTTAAGGTAAAAATCCAATATATAAGCATATACAGTACAACCGTTCAAATGTTTGGGGAGGTTATTGAAAAATGTATTATTTTATATTTAAGGGCATCCATTGTGTAAAACATATGCTGGATAAGTTGGCGGTTCATTCCGTTGTGGTGACCCCTGATAAATAAGAGACTATGCTAAAGGAAAATGAATAAATGAATGAGTTCTCCTTCCCAGAGATGGGTTGCGACTGCAAGGGCATCCGCTGCGTAAAACATGTGCTGGATAAGTTGGCAGTTCATTCCGCTGTGGCGACCCCAGATTAATAAATGGACTAAGCCGAAAAGAAAATGAATGAATGAATGAGTTCTCCCAAAAACCATCTGAGTTTTGGTCTGTTCAACAAAAAAAGAAGATATTTTGAAGAATGTTGAAAACCAGTACCAATTTACAACCATAGTAGGACCTAAAAGTACAATGGAAGTCAATATCTACAAGTCTTTAGCATTTCTCAAATTATCTTCTTTTGTAATTATAGTATTATTAATAATAATATTGTTAAATAATAATAATAATGTTACAAATGTTTAATTTGATATAGTATTTTTAGACCAGCTAGTAATACACTGTTAAAAAAAGTCTGGGTTCCAAACAATATCTTCATGTTGTCCCAGCACAAACAGATTTATTTTAATTTAGGTGGACTGAACATAAAACAATTAGTTTGTCCCCCCAAAAACTTAAGAATTAAGTCATTTGAGCTTATTTTAAATAATTAGTTTAAGCAAACAGCAAAAGTGATTTTTAAATTGTAATTTAAACCTTAACATCCGAATGCATAATTATCCAAAGACCTGAGGAGATTCCTCTGCATGAAAGACTTGTGAATGGGAGATCCTGCTGCTGCTTCTCCAATAATGTAGGAAATTAAATATGACAGAAACGTGGATGATGTGTGGATGATTGACAGGGCATATACTACAAACGTATATGTATGTGAACTGGGAAGCAGCAAACGGCATTGTGTTTTAACTATAGTGTAGTAGTGACTCTAAGTGTTATGCTTTCACACAGTCAGCAGGTGGAGCTTCATGCAGTTTAACACTGAAAACTCTGCTGAATCAAGAGAAATACTGTACGTGGTTCTGTATCTGTACACACCGACAGCGGGGAAGGGGATAAACCTCTGTATGAAGAGTCTGGTGGCAGGGTTAAACTTGCTGGATTTCTGGATCAGTACATTCAGACCCACCTACAGTAGGACAGAAGAAGAATTTACATGACATATACAAGTGAAACTGGACAACCCACATTCAAAATAGTGCAGTAATTTATAGCCAGTATTGAAGTGTTTTAAAGTACTTAAACCAGGGGTGTGCAAACTCGGTCCTGGAGGGCCAGTGTCCAGCATAGTTTAGCTCCAACTTCCTTGGAGCTAACTTTCCAAGAAGTAGTATACCTAGAGAGAGAGCTTAATAACTGGTTCAGTTGTGTTTAATTGGGGTTGGAACTAAAATATGCAGGACACCGGCCCTCCAGGACCGAGTTTGGACATCCCTGACTTAAAGTAACCTGTTGTGGCTATGGTAATACAAAAACTAATACTGTATTTTTTTACAACTACATGGGGTATGTTATACTATAATACAACACAATTTACTGTAGTACAAGCTAAGGTATACTACACTATTTATTACAGTTTATCAGTTCGCTATAGTAAATACTACTGCAGGGATCACCAATCTCGGTCCCAGAGGGACGGTGTCTTGCAGATTTTAGCTCCAACCCTAATCAAACACACCTGAACAAGCCAATCAAGGTCTTACTAGGTAAACTTGAAAGATCCAGGCAGGTGTGTTGAGGCAAGTTGGAGCTAAACTCTGCAGGGACACCGGCCCTCCGGGACCGAGATTGGTGACCCCTGTACTACAGTATGCTGGAGCATTCATTTACATGGAGTTGTAATGACTATAATAAGTCACTGTAGAACTGTTATCGTATGTAAAACGCTATCGTACTTACTATAAAATACTATAATGTGTTTTTTCAACCCAGGCTCATTCTGAAAACGTAGCCTCGCGGACGTTTCTCAAGACCGCGATTTACGTGGCAGGAGGTACGTATGGCCGCATTAAATTTTTTCGAGTGAACGCTACGGGACGGTGACACCGCTCCTTTTTTTCGTGCTCGCCGGCTGACGGCTCACCTCCGTGTGGAGGGCTTTCCCGCCACAATCAGTTTGTCTGCTTAGCTCGTAGTGTTATGAAGGCGGAGCGGAGGCCTGGAGGAGGAGGAGCCGGTCGCGGCCACGCCGGGTTCGAGTCCGGGAAAGAGCGGTTCCAGAAATCAGGTAAGATGAAAAACAGAATCCAAAAAATAAAAACAAACAAGTTCGTGAAGGGGCGAGAATGCGGCGAAATCCGAAAACGCAGTCAAAAGTCGGACGAGGGCTTATGCTTTTCTTTTCTGGACGGCTTTTGTAAATCGTCGTTTGGGTTGGGTTTCTTCCCTTTTTAGATTTCTGATCAAGTTATGTCAGGTTTATTAATGTAGTGAATCATTGATTCTGATTATCACTGATTTTCATTGAGCAGGTATAATATTCATTAATATTAATTATTAGACTTCTTATATTAACTAAGGTACCGCTGTTTGGGGTCGAATGATAGTTACATCATTTTTCATAATTACATCAATTTATAAGAGCGGAGGAGCGGCTAAATAATGAATAAAAAGTGTGAGACTATGGTCAAATAAATACATAAATGAAAAAAGTGCGACTGCTGAGAGTGCAAGCAGCTAGAGACACCGGCCCTCGCGGACAAAAAAACGGACCGGCCCACTGGGAATTCTCCAGGTCCTCCCGATTAGCCAATCCGGGCCTGCCTACAGAACCATCAAGATTTTTACATTCTGTTTAAGTCTGTGAAAAACTCACACCTGAGCAATTCATGTGACTTTATTTTCCATATGAGAGGCGTCTTTAAGCTGCCATCACCAAACAAGCCTTTTATATAAAGTATTAAATACAATTCAGTTGTTCAGGACTTTCTTCTTGTTTCACTCTATTGTTATTACACACAACTCATTTTTCAGATTTTTTTTTTGTTTAGGTTTTTACCAAAATCTGCTTCAATACCATGTCAACAGCTCCTTTAGAAATATTATTCCCAGGTAAAAACATGATGTGTACAATACTTATTTTCCCCGCTGTATATCCGTGGAAATTTCAGTAAGACTAGTTGTAGCTGTCGTCAGAAGCAATTCTTGTATACTACACTCTAATCATTAGTAATCATTAGAATAAATAAGTAATGTATATTTGTTGTTAATGCATTTCAAGTTATTTAACTAAAACTATAGAAGGGGAGGGGGGAACCTGTTTCTTGTCATGTTTAGCTTGGGAATTATTTCATTGTTGCAATCAAGATATTTTTCCGGTGCACTACAAGGTGCTGTGCTAATAACACGTTTGTAAGGATTAAGAAGTACAAAGAAGTTTGTTAAAGAGAAACTGCAACCCTTCAAGTTTATTCCTCTTAAGTAAAAGAGGCCAATGAGGTATGTGTCGTATAGTGTTAACGTATGTGAACATGTATGATTATGTGTCCGTATGTTAATGTATAATTAGCCAATTAAGTGTATTTCTTTACATGTTGAATGTGCACTTTATCTTTTGGTTGTATGTATGTTGTTCATTACGTGCAACGTCACCTTTAAAGGGTTAATTTAAGTTTATGTATTTCTTTTCATAGTTCTGATGGCATTATTGGGACATAAAGGAGTGCAAGGCTAGAATGTACAAGACATACTACAGACTCGTGTCCGAATAAATGTCAGTTATAATCAAGAACTTGATCAAGACTTGAGCCTTTGTTTCATCTTGAGAGGAGTAACACTAGTTTTGTCTTATTCAGAATGAGGTACATAACATGATTACTGATGTCCATGTGAACGCACCTTTAAACACTAACATTAAAAATGAAATCAAAATTAAAAATGACTTACGGCAATAGAAACAGCGCTGGTCACGGCTCCCACGTATCCCTGAATAAACTTTGAGGTTGGCGTTGGCTAAAGATGACATTGTGGAAAAAAAAAACAATGAAGTTTCAGGTGCTGGAAACGCCATGCAATGAAAAACACTGCAGATGTGGATGCAGAACAGCCGTCTGGCCCTCGGGACACAACGATGGTCATTCAGATGGAATCGAGAAGAAAGAAACGCTTCACTGAATGACCATCTGCAACTGCACTGACAGAGTTCAAGCTCGAAACGCTGACCTGAATTGAAAGTCAAAGCGTACCTTTGTGGCGTTGCGGTTGGCGTAGTTCACACATGCATTGTGACTCTGGTTCAGCCACTGCCGGAGAGAAATTCAGGGTCAGCTTTACTCTTTTTGATTGAAATGTGAATGTTAATGTGTCATTTTCTGTGAAGACACTCTTCTGGAGAAGGTCACATTCACTGTAATGTTTCACGAATGACAAATCCATTTAAATCCAAGAGTTAATTTTCTAGATTTAATATTTTTACTTCATTACTGTGCTTAAGTACTGCACACAAATACATCAGAGTAGAAAAAAAAAACTTTTGCTTCATTATTTTCCAAACCAAAATCACATAATTTTTACTCAACTATATTATTTGCAATAATATTTGCACAAGTGCTCGCCTAAGATTAGTCATGATTAATCATATCTAAACTAAAAGTTTGTTTTGGCATAATAGGTGTGTGTATTACATATATTTATTAAGTAAAAGTGATACACACAAATACATTTAAAGTCAGAATTATTAGCCCCCCCTGTTTATTTGTCCCCCTTTTTCTGTTAAACAGAGAGATTTTTTTCAACACATTTCTAAACAACAGTTTTAATAACTCATTTCTAATAACGACTTTCTTTTATCTTTGCCATGATGACAGTAAATAATATTTGACTAGATATTTATCAAGACACTTCTATACAGCTTTAAGTGACATTTAAATTAATAATTAAAGTTAATTATTAATAATTAATAATTTAAGTTAATAAGGTTAACTAGGCAGGTTAGGGTAATTAGGCAAGTTATTGTATAATGATGGCTTGTTCGGTGGACAGTCGGAAAAAAACTTCTTCTTTCTCCAGAAGAAAAAAATATTATCAGACATACTGTGAAAATCTCCTTGCTCTGTTAAACATTATTTGGGAAATAATTAAAAAAGAAAAAAAATGCAAAGGGGGGGCTAATAATTCTGAATTCAATTGTACATAGAAACAAAACTATACAAAACAGTTTTGTTACATGGATATTTAAATTTATATGTATTTTTTTGTCATATACATATATATGTCTAAATATAAATAAGCATTTTCTCAAATATATATACATGCTTGTGTGTATATATATACGTTAAAAAATATATTTAGAACACAAACATACAGTTGAAGTCAGCCCCCCTATTTATTTTTTCCCTTTTTTCTGTTTAACAGAGCAGATTTTTTTTCAGCACATTTCTAAGCATAATAGTTTTAATAACTCATCCCTAATAACTGATTTATTTTATCTTTGTCATGATGACCATAAATAATTTTGACTAGATATTCGTCAAGACACTTCTATACAGCTTAAAGTGACATTTAATGGCTGAACTAGTTTAATTAGATCAACTGAGCAGGATAGGGTAATTAGGCAAGTTATTGTATAACGATGGTTGGTTCTGTAGACTATCGGGAAAAAAATGCCTAAAGGGGCAAATAATTTTGTCTTTAAAATGGTGGTTAAGAAATTACAAACTGCTTTTATTCTAGCTGTAAAAACACAAATAAGACTTTCTCCAGAAGAAAAATATTATCAAAAAAATCAAAGGGGGCTAATAAATCTGAATCTGACTTCAACTGTATGTTATATATATACTGAAGAAATAATCTGATTCTTAAATGAGCTGATTCAGTTAAGTTAACATGTTAAATTATTTTGCAAACTGCACTGATTAATGACTTCATGAATTGGACTGATCTGATTGCATCTCTTCTTGAGTCAACAGCTCATGGATTCAATTGATCCAATCAGAGCGAGTGTGCAGTTAATGATTCACTGATTCAAATGATCAAAGCGAACATCCAGTTAAAGGCATACCATTTCCTCTTTTAATCTTTAATCTAAATGATTTTCTTTCGTCCTTTGATCTGATTGTCCTTTGCGATTAACAGATGAAAGAAACTCAGATAGGTTTTTAACAAGTGCAGAAAGAGAAAATGATCACAGAATTATCTTTTTTTGGTGAGCTATCCCTTTTACTGATCCACTGATTCGAATGATCCTGTTAGAGCAAATCTTCAGTGGACGATTCACAGATTTTTCATGTCAGGTTAAACCTCAAGGTTATACCATACCTGCCAATGTTTGAAAAATCTCTGAAAATCCATGAGACTGGGGATATAGTGTCTTGGTGTCGGGGGTGAGGTGTCCGGGACAGTAACTATGCACCGGATTTCGGGCGGCCGCTATGAAAATTTGGGGGATGAAATTACAGGAGTTTTTCCCGGGAGAAATAACAAAACGGGAGGGTGGCGGGAGATGGTCTGACACTCCCAGGACAAACGGGAGTGTTGGCAGGTATAATATATACACAATATTTAATTTACAAATGATCAGAACGGAATGACTCTTCCATGAATGACTCACTGATTCAAATAATTTGGTCAGTGTGAATCTTCAGTAAATGATTCACTGATTCAAACTTAAATGGCAGTTTATTATAACTATATTTATTCATTAATTTTCCTCAGGCTTAGTCCCTTATTTATCAGGGGTCACCACAGCGGAATGAACCGCCAACTATTCTAGCATATGATTTACGCAGCAGGTGCCCTTCCAGCCGCAACCAAGTACTGGAAAGCACCCATACACTCTTGGATTCACACACACCCATGCACTACAGCCAAATTAGTTCATCCAATAGCCTAATAGTGCATGTCTTTGGACAGTAGGGGAAACCGGAGCACCCGGAGGAAAAGAAACTCATAAAGGCTTCAAACTACTTGATGGAGAGTAAATTTCTATTTTTGGATGAACTGTCCCTTTAATTGCATTGTTACAAAATCATAACTGAGCTGAGTGTATAGTAGGGAAATCCTATTAAACTACTTCAGTCTAATTATGCATTTATAACTGAATAAGTGGCTGATGGGAATGCAGAGTCAGCTTTTACGCTTCCTGGCACTGATGAGCTCAAAATGATGGGAACAATTGACTTTACCTGCCAGAAAACAGTGGAGGCCAAAGTCTGGTTAGGAAGGAGAAGACCAACAACCTGCAAGACAATCAGCTGCAGGTCAGAAGACTGACTAGTAAACAGTAGACAGTGATGCACGTTAATAATTCACACTTATCTACAAAAACAAAGCTTTACGACAGACTTTAGAAGCTCAATGCAGATTTCAACACCTCTCAGCTCAGAAGACCTGGATGTTTCAATACTGGCTCATGCATAATGATTGGATTGAAGCGTCTTTATCTCATATTTGCTCTTCTGTTTGTTTCTGATTTGCACTTTGATCTATTTTTAACAAGCAAATGTAAGACTTACGATTGGCGTCCCGAATGGCACATAGCCTGTGAAACGGACACAGATAAGAAGAGGAGCAAAAACAACAAATCACAACTCAGAGATCATCAGAAGAGAGACAGAAATAACCTCTACGGCTGTCCTCACTTCATTTGCATTTGCTTGAATATGCATGATGCTCTTTTTTTTAATGATATGGTGTGATTGTATTGTTAATTATTCGGCATGAACAATCAGCCGCACACGTGCATAAATAATTGATGTTTTCGGATGGGTAAAAACAGAACCGCATCTATAAGAATAAAACATTTACTTGATCAAAAATACAATAAATAAAATAAGTGTTTTTAATCTTATTAAATACAGTGTTGGACATTATTTGTGTTTAAGAAACGGTTTTGTGAACACCTAGATAGATTACATATGTAAATATATACTTTATGTATAGTCTTAATATAATAGTTTTAGTAACTAATTTTAAAACTGATTTCTTTTATCTTTTCCATGATGACAGTAAATAATATTTGACTAGATATTTTCAAGATACTAGTATTGAGCTTAAAGTGACACAAGGCCGCACTGTTCAAGAGACTCAATTCTGATTTTTTTCCCCCATGTGGCACAGATCGGATATGGCCCATGTACGTGTAAGCAGGAACAAATCATATAAGCTGCGTCCCAAATGGCACACTATACACTCATGCACTATGTACTTATATGCACTTAAACACTCAATAGGCTAGTATATGTATGTAGTGTCGTCCCAAATGACACACTAATGTTTATTTACTAAGCGGAAATTCAAACTGTTTTCCTAATGACGTTTGATGGTCGCCAAATCAAAGAAATAAACGACCGAATTATCAAATAATACCTGCCGTGAGTATAACCGCATTCACCATTGGGAGGCGCTATAATAACTCTCGTATGAGAATTTTGCTTTCACCATCCAAAATAAATGAAGTTATTCAACATGTGCGCCCAATAGCTCGGCCCCTTCCGCTAAGTAAGCAAACCTGCAGTCGTTGAGTGCGTGAAGTGTCCATCATTCAACACTTCACTTTACCGGCTGAATGAGTGCATTATCCGGGTAATTAAAGTGCACTTATTATTTTTAGAGTTTTCAGTGTCAACACACTACTTACACTATTTATACTACAAAATGGCGTAGAATAGTGCATAAGTATGTGATTTGGGACGCAGCTATGGATTCCGATTTACTCAAATCAGATTCAGGCCTTGTTCATATGTGGAAATGTATCCGATATGAATCGGATCGGTGTTCTCGTGTCTGTAGTGTAAGCAGGTAGATCGGATTTTTACCTGTGAATGCGAGTCATGCGTCATTAAAAACCATAGCAAATGACTGACGCTTTCATTTCAGAACAGATTTCAGCAGAGTCCCAAACCTTAAATCTCATACACAAGGACTTAAACAGCTTTCATAATGTCATATTGAACAGGTATTTGAGCATGTTAACGAGAGCGAGAGAGCGCAATGTCCACCAAGTAACCAATATAAACTAATATAAAACTAGTGCAGCTACATCAAGTGCATAAATCCAGCCATGAACATTGCATTAAAGGTTTAAAAAAGCCTATATATCATATCATAAGAAGATGAACAAATGAGAACCTTTCTGTCATAAACTATAGTAAAACAGCTTGTCAAAGCTGTGAACAGATTACATACACAAATAGAGAAAAGAGCACTCTTTAATTATCAGCTGTTAGTCAGCGCCCGCTCTCTTTTTTTCCTGGTCATTCACCTTTGCTGTATACAGTGCAATGCCCCATTCACACGGGGCTTCAGCGCCAACGCTTGAAAGAGGGTGTGTCAGAAGTTGGGACTGACGCGATCGTCATAGCAGCATCAGCCAATGAAATTAGTCAGCAATCGGCTACTGTCTGAGCTGATGTGTTTGCATACAACAAGACCCAACTTCTGCAGCGAGCAACGCCACTGAATCGGCGCCGACGGATCCACAATGCAGTAAATGCAGACGATCAGATACGAGTCAATTTTAAAAGATGATGTAAGCAGGTCTTTAAAAAAATCGGATAGTCACAAAATGGGAATTGACCATCAAGATCTGCAGTGTAAATGCAGCCTTAAAGGCATAATTAGGTTAACTAGGCAGGTTAGGTTAATTAGGCCAGTCATTGTATAACATTGGTTTGGTCTGTAGACTATCTAAAAACATATATTGCTTAAGGTGGCTAAAAACTGCTTTTATTCTAGCCAAAATAAAACAAATCAGACTTTCTCCAGAAGAAAAAATATTATAGGAAATACTGTGAAAAATCTCTTGCTCTGTCAAACATCATTTGGGAAATATTTGAATATATTTTTTTATCACTTTAATTATTGTTTTCCATTTACTTACACTTTAGACAACTCTTAATTGAATTCTTTCTGATTTTGAGTTTTTAATAAAGAGAACTTTGAAGTGATGTATAATTAATTAATTAATTAATTAATTAATTAATCAATGTGTATGTTGCAACATAGACTCATTCTGAAAACGTAGCCCTACTGTATATACGTCTCTGGAGATCGCAAATTATGTAGCCAAACGAACGGATGGCAGCATTTCTTTTTTTTAAAGCGAACACTACGGGGTGGTATGACACCGGTCCTTTTCCCAATTACCAGCTGACCGCTTACCTGCATGAGAACAGCAGGCGTGAATGGCACTCGCGCGAGAAATTTGGGATCTCAAAAAGTGTACACAGCAGCCATGTTTGCGAAAACAAAAACGGCAAAAAACAGACCTCCTGAGACGTACTTTGTGCTCTCCAGAAATGCATATAGAGCTGTTTTCAGAATGAGCCTAGGTTGAAAAAACCCTTTCAGATTTGATGCCGCAAATTTACTTTATTGTCTTATTTGACTCATTACTTATTTTTACTTTTCACTTCTTTGCCCCATTATCTTTAATTTGTGGGGTATTATTTTCGCAAGCCTGCCCATGTAAGCAATTTTTTTCTATTATGAAAATTATTAATATAATTAAGCACACTGTGCTCAATTTCTGGGTGAATGCCTTTAAATAAAAAAAAGGCAAAAATACGTAGCTCCTGGGACATATTTGGCTGTCTCCAGAAATTTATATAGCGGTATGTTTTCAGAACGAGCCTGGGTTGTGTGTGTATATATAATAATGCATAAGCTACACCCTAAAAAATACTAGGAAAAAACATGGACATCCAAACAAACCCAATTGTTAGGTTAAATTAAGTAATTACAATTTAATTGAAAAAATGTACTCAGCGTTGAGTTTGTCTCGTTGGACTAAAACAATTCAGCATTTTTATAGAGTAATTTGTTTAGTTATATTAGTTATTATCCATCCTCTTAATCTTGAAGTAATATTTTTATTTATAGTGATTCATATAATTTTTGTTTTTTTATCTTATGAACTACTGATAATGTGTCTTCAATATGATTTTATTCACTTTTTATTTAATAAAAATAGAAGATTTTGCATTTGTTTTGTTTTTATTTCATGATTTACTAATAATGTGTCTTCCATATTAGTATTATAATTTGTTTCTTCAATAAAAAAGGACAGATTTAAATTTGGATTGTTTTTATTTCATAAACTCCTAACAATGTGGCTTTAATATTGTTTTGTGCATTTTCCTTTACTAAAAAATTAAAGATTTAAAATTGACTTGTTTTTATTTCATAAGCCCCTAATCTGTCTTAAAATATTATTATTTTTTATTCAGTTTTTCTTTTAAAAAAATTAATAAAGGATTTTAATATGACTTGTTTTTTTTTTTATTTCACAAACTACTGATAAGGCATTTTTAGTATTATTTTTTAAATTTAAAACTTTTCTTAAAATATTTAAAATGTTTTTATTTCATAAACTTCTTATACATTGTCTTTAATGTAATTTTTATAATCATTTTCTTTAATAAACTAATAAAAGACTGAAATCTGACTTGTTTTATTTCATGAACTACTAATAATCTGTCTTCAATATTATTTGTAGAATTTTTTCTTTAATAATAAAAAATAAAGTAGGGTGTATATCTTCATTATGCTCTTACCTGACATGCGAAAAGGCATGAATATTTTTTCCCCGGTGTCGGGGTGAATGATGGCCTGAAAGTAGACGAGTCAGTGACTGTAACACCATCCATCGTTTATAAAGTGACTGTGAACAAAGAGCTCCAAACTCTCACCTGCTTGACCTTCTGAGCCTCCCAGAGCTGAACACAGAACACAGGCCGTTATAAAACACTGCAGCACATTTAGCACATGCGTGATCCTTCTAAACATCACCTGCTGATCTGTGACACCTGCAGGAAGATTCCCTCGTTTGAAATCATCCAGGAGTTTCATACATTCTTTTAAACGACTCTATGAAGGAGAAAGGCAAAATCAATCAGTTTTTATGATCAGTGCACACTGCAAAAATATCAGTTAACAGTTTCCCTATTTTGTGATTCACAAGTGTTTTCAGTTTTACCATTGTGAATTGCATTATGGGAAGTCGATCTTTGCTCTGTCAACTTTTGATGTTGAAAATTTAACTCTACGGTTAAACAAACTGACTTTTATTGACATTCTAGTAGTTTTAAATAATATAATGTGTAAGAATTAATATATAGAGAAATAAGTCTGTAAAATAACAGAAAATTTATTACAGCCAGTTTATTACAAGTTTTTTTTTTTGCATAATATACAACATCAAATCAAACCATAAATAAATTCAAACTATTAAAAATATTCATAAAAGTCACTTTTTTCAAACTTTTAAAGGTTGAAAGTTGTTGTAAAGAAAGATAAAGGTCCCATAATGAAATTCAAAAGCGTAGCTAATTTACAGATATTTCTGTTTGCAGTGCATGGTAAAAAATTTGTTCTAAGTTCCTCCACTATCCACAATAATATCTGAAGGCTTCGTGACTAGTTTTTTTTTTTTTTTTTTTTTACTAAATGCCAATTTTAGTAAATATTACAAATACAATTTATAGACAATAAAATATTTTACAGCTGGGCATAAAAATGTTGGTTTGTGTGACTTAAAAGTTACAAAATAGACAAAGAGGATAAAATGCTTAATAAAAAAAACATGTTGCATTTTTATTATTTTTACACTTTCAATTGTTAAAAAAAATCATACATTTTAGGCATTTTAACCCTTTAAATTACAGTTTGCTCACATAATATCACTGATGTTGTTGTTTTTTAATTAAAACAACATTAAAACAACAACAGTAAACAGTAACAGTTTTCTTATATAATAAAGGCTAAGCAGTTTTGTTATGATTTTTGATTATTATTGTTATTATTATATTTTTTCATTACTATTACTACACTGTAAAACCCAACAGTCAACTTTATCAGATGAGATGAGTGTAGTTAACTCAAAATGTACTGAAAGTTAATTCTACTAATTTGAAAAGAGTTTTGAACTCAGTGTTGAAGGTAATGAGTTCATTAAATACCTCATTCCTTCAACTTAAATGGAGTAAGTTCACAGTACTCATAGTTTAGTTTTTGAACTCAAATGGTTTGTAGCAATCGGTTTCCTTAAACGATTTGAGTTGCCTTAACTTATTGGGTTTTACAGTACTCAGTTGGTTTGAGTTCTCTTCATTTACCGGGTTTTACTGTGCTCAAATTGCTTCATTTACTCAAATGGAGTAAGTTCGCAGTACTCATTGAGATTAGTTTTCGATCCTAAATGGTTTGTTGCAATCAGTTTCCTCAAATGGTTTGAGTTACCTTAACTTTTTGGGTTTTACAGTGTAATAAAACAGTCAAATTATTTAATAACCAGAAATAACATTAATAAAATGTGATTATTTTAAATAATATTATTTTAAATAGTCACTCATTTATTCTTCGTTTGGCTTGAACAAATAAACCGCCAACTATTCCAGCATATGTTTTTAGCAGCGGATGCCCTTCAAGCCCTAACCCATAACTGGGAATTAAATAGTTATAGTTTAATTTATTTATTATTATTATTACATGGCTCTTTCTGAATGGTCAGTCACACAGTCCAAAGTATGTTATTTGCAGACAACAACCTCTGAAACTAACAACAAAGTCTCATTAGGGTGCATTGAATCATCTTGACCCTCAGTGAATATACATTCACTTTCATATTTATATTTCTGCTGTTTTTGACTGTTTTGTGCCATCTTGAGGCTGAATAATACATAAGTTAGTGTATGCTCCTTTCAGCCATTTTCAGTCATGTCAGCTTTGCATTTAATTAAAGAATTAATAAACTATTAAGCCTCAGGACGATGTTTAGAGAAACCTAATTTTCTTTTCTTGACATATGTCAGTATGACACAATTGCTTATTTCCTAATTGAACTGCAGATTTGTTTTTAAAAGGACTGACGCAGCCTTTTGAGAGAGACAGATTGCAACACACAAGTGTAAGTAACCATGTGTTTTTCTGTGTGTCAGTATTGATTTGTCTGCTTCATATCTACGAAAGTACTATAAACAAAACTAACTGATTTCAGCATACATCAATAGCTTCCCTCAATGTTTTAAAAATTATATTAATATGCAATATTTCCATATGTTGAATGCGCCAGACCTATCAAAGCAATGCATTTTATATACATATTAAATTCTTTGCCTATTCATATTGACTTAGACATAACTAATATCTGATATCTGTGTTTACACTTATCCTCACTTAAATACAACATTAAAAAAGGGATTTTGTTTATACACATAAAACAAAGTCCATTCTGTGTCAGATATGAATAAATAAAGTATTCTTCTGCTTATCTAAGCAACCTATTACTTCTAAATGATGATGTTGATATAAAAATATGGTTAACTATGTAAATTCAACTCAGAGAGCATTATAAAACTAAACACAATCTATTTAAAATCCTTTAAGTCCTCTGATTGAGAATCGCTGATTTATTCACATCAATCACAACAACATAAACAAGACTTCGGTACCTCGGTCACAAACAAAGTGGAAGGGTCGATGATGTCAATGAAATGTCTCAACCTGCCGAGAAATGTGCTCTGAGGAAGAAAAACATTCCTTTAGTTTCACAAACTCAGATAAAGCAAAAGATAAAAACGGGACAAACTCGTGACAGCACAAACCACAACACGATTAAAACCTGCTGCCTTGCACCTTATATTAATAGGAGACGCCCTAATTTTAGAGTCAGACTAAAATATTGAAGGACTCTAAAGACGACAAAGGATGGAGCTGCATCAACATTCAGATATGCGAGCGGTTTTCAGAACACCAACTGTTTCAGAGGCCCGATGGTGGAGCGTGCCAAGGGTTTATTTGGCAAAGAACACTCAGAGTAAAAAAGAGCTTCAATCACACGCATCTAAATGATTTATCCAGGGAAAAGTCAACAAAAAATGTCTCATCTCACTAGACTACTACAATTAGATCTGTGCAATCTGACAATATAAATTGTATGTGTGAAATAAATAATGTATTTCATATTCTGCTCTAGATTGCTCATTTTAGGGCTGCACAATATCCAACTATCGCTATCATGATAATAGTATATGCAATGTCCAAATCGCAGAAAGGTGCAATAAATTAAATGTATTAAGCTTTTGTGTGCTGTATTCATAGGTTGTTTATTAGGTGTGGCAACAAACCCCACCCCTAAACCCAACAATCATTGGGGGATAAGCGAATCATACAAATGAGATATAAATTGATACGACTTAGCCACTTTCGCCACTAAACCAAGAAGGTCTTACAAATGGTCGCGAGATAACGTTGTTTTATCAAGTCTGACCAATCAGATCATACCCACCTTTCCAGTAGGTGCTGTTAGGTGAACCGAGTTGCATTTCAAAGGTACTCATTTTACATTTCTACATTCTTAATCAAACATTTGGTCATAGCAGTTATAGAATTAAATAAAATACATGTTCTATGTACCTACTATATTAACTACAATTAGTTATGCATAATTACATGCAAGTAAGCCTGCATTCTAACCCTAACCATATAGTAAGATGAGTGTTGCGATATTTCTTACAATATAAATAGCTTTAAGAAAAGCACTATTTTACTATTTTATGCAGTTTATTTATAAGGATAATGCCTATTTTAATTATTCTAAATTTCGAAGATTCACCGCGTTCACTGGCATCAGCCTGTCATACTGAGCAAAGCAAAGACGGTTGATGTTCCGCCACAAGATGGCGACAGAAACTGCATAATAAGTCCTTGGGGGAAAAAAATTTCAAACCACAACTCATTATAAAGCAGGTAAGAGACATTCTAAGTCAATCTCTCTCTTTTGTATGTTGTAGTGCTGTTTATACAATAGTAATCTAGTAGTAATTGCGTTGCTTTGGCTTTTTCGGTGTTAATTATTGTGATATCCCGATTGCAACAGAGAAATACTGGGAAATCTCTGTAGACTGATGGCATTCCATGCCGTTTAGCCTTATAATCTTAAAATGTGAGCAAAATCACCTGTTTTGTCGTCACTTTAAACATTACGCTAGAGAATCAATCAAACACTAGCTCTAAAGTGACGTTGGTGAATGTGCAATGGCTTCTGCTGTTCTGACCACCTGCTTAAGTGTATGAAAGGCGGAAGAAAGTATAAAAGGGTTTTTGAGACTCTCCGTGTTTGATTCTCTTTTTATATACACAATTATGTCGTCATACTGTTGTATGAACGCAATATCACACTCATAGTATTGCTATATGGCTGTATATCGTCACTGGGGGGACACTAAGGAACTCGACCTGCGAACCTCGAGCCAACTCGCGCCTCCCACCAGTGCCGATATACAACCACATCAACACAATCTCACGGCAATTCGTAACTTTTTCATTTAGTGGCTAATTCGTACAAATTCGTACGATCTAATTCGTACATTTTAGTACGATTTGCGTATCCCCCAATGACGGTTGGGTTTAGGGGTGGGGTTAGGTGCCACGCCTCCTTTTTAAAATCGTACATTTTCTTACGACTGAACTCGTACGAATTCGTATGAATTAGCCACTAAACTGCCAAAACATAAAATACTTACGTTTTCTCGTAAGATCATATAGAGCAATGTCACACAAGTAGCAGTGCGATGTGTATATATATATATATATATATATATATATATATATATATATATATATATATATATATATATATATATATATAATTACAAAATATCGGACATACTGTGATGTAAACATTATTTGGGAAATAATATATATATATATATATATATATATATATATATATATATATATATAAATATAAATAACTGTTAAATAAAACAGTTTTGTTTAAATGTACTATAAATATAAACAGTATATATTGTTTACGGGATTAAGGAAGACTTATATTGTGAGATGCGTGTTTTGTCATATCATCCATAAATAGCTACAATATATGGTGAGGAAAGCACAAAAGAAATCTGCTGATCTGAGTTCGCTCGACTAATAATGTTATTTCTGGGCTACAGACACTTGCTTCAAAGCTGTGAGTGCACGTCTGCAGGAGAAGACTTGTTAATTATGCATGTGTTTCTGCTCCCCGGAGAATACGCAACACAGTTCGCAGAGATGGAGAGAGATGAAAACATACACTCGTATCCTTCAGCTGCATCGATTTCACCCAAAAACAGCAGCGATAACGAGGAAAATGGTGCACAAAAGTCAAAGGCACCAGCGCTGGATATTGCCCATCCAAATATATAATAACAGTGACCATAATAACTCAAGTCAAACGTTGCTTTGTTCAGTAGCCCATCAAAAAATAATAAACATTAAGGAGACTAAACATTAAACTAAAAAGAAATATGACTTTCTCCAGAAGAAAGAATAAGAGGAAACACTGTGAAATGTCACAGGAGGGATAATAATTTGGTCTTCAATTGTATACATATTATTACTATAACATATCAGACACATATACACAGTTTGCATAGAAAACATACAGCCAAATCAGGCAGCTGCATTGATTTCAGATAAAAACTGCAGCGATAACAAGGAAAATGGTCCTGGATTTGGTTCATATGTCTAAATGATAACAGCAAGCGTAATAATTGCACATCTAATGAATGCACCTTCTTATAAAACTGGCAAAAGACCAGATTTATTTTTGGTATCTGGGACTAGTTCATCAATAGGGCAGCAGATTTGAATATATTCTCATTTAGGGAGCATCTGGCATGATAATCAAACAAAACTCCTGATCGCAGTGAAAGTGTTTTATTTGGATGCATTCAGAGACAACATTTATAAAGAATCAAAATTGATACTCCATTATACTGCCCTCTATATGGGCTTCTAAGCAGCATAGTAGTGCATTGCAAACAAAATGCATATTTATATAGTTGTGAACATGGCTCTGAAGCAAACCAGAGAAAAACACAGAGAATCGACATGCATGTGCTGATTTCAGAGTGAATGTTTAATCATTCAGGCTTTTTTTCCCAGTAAAAAACAAAAATAGAATAAAAAAAAGTCTGTGAATGAAATATCATATCATATATTTATAACATCATGCAAAAGAAGTGTAATGTATATTACTGCAAAAATGACACAAGGGATTTCAGTGATGACTGACTGCTAATGTTGCGCATTTCTTAAATTTAACCATTAAACATTATTTTAACTTTTGCTATTAAGTTATTTTTAAAATGTTATTTTCACCACTATTTTTTGCAAACAAATGATCTAAATTAATTATAATTTTTTGTAACATTACTTGCATGCCAATTTTTTTAAATGTACAAATTATATTAAGTGAAATTGATTTTGTACCATTAATAGAATCACTATTTTTTGTTTTGCAAATGAGGAACATAAGATTGCTTTTGTTATTGTTTCAATATTTTAAACTGTTTATAATATTTATTGTATTTCTATAAAATTTGTAATATTTAGAAATCTGAAATATTTTGAATAGATTTTTAAACATAAGTTACATAACTCATTTTCTTTCATTCATTTAATTTTATTTTCGGCTTAGTCCCTTTAATAACCTAGGGACTAAGCCACAGCGGAAGGAACCGCCAACTTATCCAGCATATGTTTTACGCAGTGGATGCCCTTCCAGCTGCAACCCATCACTGGAAAACATCTATACACAATCATTCACACATGCACTACGGACAATTTTAGCTTACCCAATTCACCTACACCACATGTTTTTGGACTTGTGGGGAAACCAGAGCACCCGGAGGAAACCCACGCGAACACAGGGAGAACAGGCACTCCACACAGAAAGGCCAACTGACCCAGCGACCTTCTTGCTGTGAGGCGATTGTGATACCCACTGCACCACCGTGACGCCCCTATAACTCATTTTTCATAACTAATTGAATGGATGACAGTAAATAACACTTTAGTTGTTCTGCAAAATACTATAGCTCTTATAGTTCATTTTAAATGCTCAAGAAGGTTAATTAGATCAACTAAGCAATTTAGGGTAATTAGGGTAATTAGTTTAAAATAAAAATATATTCACATAAATAAAAATTAAATAATAGGAAAATGTAAAATTATAGCAATTACTTTAAATTTCACAGAAGAGCTAATAATTATGTATATTTTTCATTCATTCATTTTCTTGTCTGCTTAGTCTCTTTATTAATGCGGGGGTCGCCACAGCGGAATGAACTGCCATCCAGCAAGTTTTTACGCAGCGGATGCCCTTCCAGTCGCAACCCATCTTGGGGAAATTGTGTATATTAATATAATTTTAATATAATTAAACTGAATATACACTGTAAAAAATGCATGGTTCCACACAATAGATTTGTGTTCAACATGGAGGAATTAAGTTTATTTATAAGTTTTTACAAATTTAATTGGGTTGAACATAAAGCAATTTGTCCCAAAATAAAAATAAAAATAAAAAATCAAGAATTGTGTTGATTCAGCTCATTTAAGTAATTAGTTTGAGCAAACAGCATTTTTTTGTAGGCTATTTTTGTGCATTAATATATCAAAAAAATTACTTACATATAATAAAATAAATGCCCTTATTACCAGCATTACCATATTTTATATTAAATATTCTTGACATTACTTGAAATGCACGTGCTTTATTACCCAAAAGTTGTTCAGAGTCAATATGTACATCAGAAACAACTATTAATACATTATCATCATTCTTGACTCATTGCTGATAGCTATTAAAATGAAATAAATCTGTCATATGTTGACTCCACGGAGCATAATTCGGGTGTGAAGGGGTTAATTGGGATGACCGCGGTGTTTCCATGGAGGCAACAGGACTTAAATAGATGGTCATTCATTTGACCGACACGAGATTCGCAGATAACACGATTGAGGAGATCATTATCGCATCCGCTCAGGAGGAAAAAAAACTTCCAATATCTGAGTTAATCAGGTGCACAGCCACGACTGACTTTGGAAGAAGAAAAACACAAAACAACAGTCAAATTTCCCCGAAGCTTTCCAGAAAAATTATGAACTTTAATAACGTCCCGTGAAATCAGTCCCGCGGTAATGCCAAATTAAAAGTGCCCAATGCATCTGTATGCAACAGCTTAAAACCCCACACAAACCTGTCCCGCTGGTCTCCTGCTATATTTGCATATAAAAGGAAAAGCTATTGGGGATGGATCTGATGATGTTTGAGAGGTTTCTAACATAACGGTGAAACCTTAACTGCATCCGCCAATCATAACAATGCAACGAAGACAACCCAACAAGAGAAAAAAAAGCATTATAAACGCTTGACTTTCGCAACACAGAGCAGGATAAAAAAGCAAAGGCATCTGCACACATATGTTGTTTATCAACGCCCATCAAAGATGCCCAGACAAAGATGCACTTTAACATCGCGGCAAACTCTTTACCTGCTCGAAACGCGGTTTTCCCAGCAGAAACCGCGGGCAGGACGCAGATTCCGCCATCTCAGCAGCGCAGGAGTGATGTTAAATAATAAAAAGGTCCATGAGACGGAATTTGTAAGAATAGTCAACTCGGGTACGAAACTAGTGAAGCAATAGCTCGCAGGGGTTTATGGGAAGTGTAGTTCTCTGTTGGACTTGACACAAAGCAGGTCCTTCCATCCACACTCTCTTAATTACAAAAGTCTGAAGGATGTACATTTGGAGCACAACTAGACAACTTTGAGGTTGTAAGTCGAAATCATTTGCTTAAAAAAGCAGACACTAGTTGTTATGTTTGTAAAACTTACGTAATGCTATTATAGCATTTAAATATTTCTGAATGATAGCCTATATGTGACACTGGACCACAAAATCAGTCATGGGTATATTTGACAAATATATTTGTCAACTTATTAATATAAAATAATACATTTTATTAAAAATAATTTAAATGTTAAGCATGGTGCAAATTACAGGGTGGTAATTTGCACTCCCACCCCCCTAATTAACGCTTGATACCCCTAAAGAACATCAAAATACAATGTATGGGAGGTCTGCCCTTTAGTAGTTAAGAAATTGTTTGCTGTATCTTAAATAATATTACTAATTAAAATAATAGATAACGCAAATATACATTTGGCCACCCCTATAATGGTTCATACCATTCTGAATAGATGTTTGACCCCAAAATATTATTTACCAGGTTTGAAACCAGCAAGTCTAGAGCACCAACAGACAGCGTAAGTGTTCACAAAACATGTTTCTTTTAAAATAGGCATTTGTACTGTAGGTGTCCTAAAACTAGATGCATAGTTTGTATTTTATTATACACTTTCTCGCACATATGAGTTAAACTGTAAAATAAAAAATTAGGTGCAGGAATGTCACTGTTTAGTTAATACCACAAATGTCATTGAGAACCACTCAATATCCCTCAAAACAAAAACAAAAGTTTAATTAATAAATTAGGTGTAATTTAAGGCGAGGCAGTGGCGCAGTAGGTAGTGCTGTCGCCTCACAGCAAGAAAGTCGCTGGGTCGCTGGTTCGAACCTTGGCTCAGTTGGCGTTTCTGTGTGGAGTTTGCATGTTCTCCCTGCGGCACCCTTCGCGTGGGTTTCCTCCGGGTGCTCCGGTTTCCTCCACAGTCCAAAGACATGTGTGAATTAGGTACGCTAAATTGTCCGTAGTGTGTGAATGTTTGTGTGAATGTTTCCCAGAGATGGGTTGCGGCTGGAAGGGCATCCGCTGCGTAAAAACTTGCTGGATAAGTTGGCGGTTCATTCCGCTGTGGCGATCCCGGATTAATAGAGGGACTAAGCCGACAAGAAAATGAATGAAAGTTGTAATTTAAATAAATATGTAACTTTGGTTCACTGAGGCATATTACCGAAGCAGAAAACTTAACCCTCTGATTGTCAATGTATAATTAGCACCCTAATTTGAAGTAAATTGAAGTGGTCAAAATTATCATGTCTTTTCTTTTATGCTAATTGTAGGCCTAATACAAATATTAAGTAAATATCATGAAGACATTTCTAAATGTAATACTGTAAATATATCAAAACTTAATCTTTGATTAGCAATATGAATTGCTAAGCACTTCATCTAAACAGCTTTAAAGGCGATTTTCACAATATTTAGATATTTTCTAGCCCTCAGATTTCAGATATTAATATAGTTGTAAGTGTCAGCCAAATACTGTCCTAATGGAAAGCTAATTTATTCAGCTCTTGATATCAGTCTCAGTTAAATCTCAGTTAAATCTCATTCATTAATTCGTTTTCCTTCAGCTTAGTCCCTTTATTCATTAGGGGTCGCCACAGCAGAATGAGTTGCAAACTTACCCAGCATATGTTTTACACAGCGGATGCCCTTCTAGCTGCAACCCAGCATTGGGAAACATCCATACACACTCATTCACACACACTACGGCTGATTTAGTTTATTCAATTCACCGATAGCGCATGTCTTTAAACTGTGGGGGAAACCGGAGCACACAGAGGAAACCCACCCCAACACAGGGAGAACATGCAAACTCACACAGAAATGCCAACTGACCCAGCCAGGACTCGAACTAGTGACCTTCTTGCTGTGAGGTGACAGTCCCTTATGACTGGTTTTGTAGTCCAGGGTTATGTGCAAATGTAACCCCGCCGGTCCTAGAGTCGGTTGCTCTACCAAGGAGGCTAAAGACCATGGCCTGTAGAGTCTGTCGTTAGAGCACCTTTAGAGGTCAGAGGATTGAGATTTTACCTGCACAGCACACACTAGCTGGCCTCTGTTACACTCATCCCCCTAAACCATACTCCCATCCGGGTCACGGCACCAATGGTCACCTCACCAGTCCTACACCGTCCAACCCGCTCCGAGCTGGGATCGAACCGATGACCTTCCGCATGGGAGTCGGTTGCTCTAACAAGGAGGCTAAAGACCATGGCCTGTAGTGTATGTCGCTAGGGCACCTTTAGAGGTCAGAGGAGTGAGGTTTTACCTGCACAGCACACACAAGCTGGCCTCCATTACACTAATAAAGGATTCTGAAATGTTCTCAAATAAAAAAAAACTATTCTATAGTAATTTATAGCACTTTTATAGTAAATACTAGAGTGTTTTTGAAAAATACAACAAAAAACCTTTTCCACACACACTCATTCACACTCATACACTATGGCCAATTTAGTTTGTTTAATTCACCTATAGCGCATGTAAATGAAACCAGAGCACCCAGAGGAAACCCACAGCAACATGAGGAGAACATGCAAACAACACAGAAACGCCAACTGACCCAGCCTGGACTCGAACCAGTGAACTTGCTGTGAGGCGACAGTGCTAACCACTGAGCCATTCAATAAAAAAATAATACCGCTTGGATAACTTTTGCCTGTGTTGACAACATTTAAGATAAGAGTCTGTTTGTAATCATAACGCATGCAATTCAAGAATAATTAATCATTCAGAGCAGATCTGATGATCTTTCAAATGTCATGTGCATATATAAGAGCCATAAGCACCAGAGATGTTGTGTGGGATATGAAGTATTCTGAACAACATTTAGATTAGCATGTTATCTTATGAATAATACCTTTTACATAACATATATTTTATAAAAATTTGAGCTGACAATAAAAAACAATTACAAAATAAACAGTGTAATTTATAAACTAATATGTTTTTGATGTTCTTAATGCATAAAAGTATTTAAAATAAAACACTTTAATAGGAATTTAACATTCAGATTTCTGATCAATAATGCAGTCTTTGTGAGAAGAAACATTTTAATCTGCATTTTTTTCAAACTGTTCAAGCACATAAAGTATTGAATAAAGTCTATATTATTATTATTATTAACAATTGTTTTATCATAACTATATTAATACTACTTTTGGGTCTAGTTGGGTTATTTTCATGTTTGTTTCACCCCAGAAATAATTAACCAAGTATGAAACACCCCATAGGACTTATTAAGATCAAACTTGCATTTTAAAAAGCAGGCAAAATGTCATTGCTATCTGACACTAGGCCCAAACAGAGCAAGCAGAGACACTGTCTGTCAGATTGAGCTTGCATTCCCACAACATTAATATTTCATGAAACCCATCTGCACGGCCATTTCTGCGAGAATTCTTTAGCTGTCATGAATCTGCTAAACTTAGATTCATATATATGTATTTTAACCAGTAGGCTATATACAAAACACGTTAATATTGCGGAGAATAAAGTAGTTTAATGTTTACAGTGTATTATAAAGTGCAATAAATAATCTTAAAAGCCCAGCACTGCCACCCAGTGGCTATTCAATATAGCACAACTGTGACTGTTTACGCGGATGACAGACCGGAGGGCAAAAACACTTATTATTGAACCACACACACTCAAACAAGTTTCCATTTGTTTTAACCCACGAATATTTAGATCACTCCTCAAGCAACGAAAAACAAGCACACATGAAACATTACAGAGAAGGGCTGTGATCATTAACGTAGCCCGCTGTAAGCTAGCCTATAATGTATACAATATTATTTACATTTCATTGTTAATGAATGCTATAGCATAGGCCGACTGCAGTATTAGATTTTACTACTATAAAGCTGTGGTGTATTGTATATAGAAAAGCAGTTTTATTACTAAATTTGCTGTGGCAACAATATAATCACCACAATGTATTAATTCAAGTACAGTATGATTAAACACTATGGGGTATTATAAATTGTTATAGATGTTTTTCGTTTTTGCTTGTTGAAACAGGTCATACTCTCATGTGCTAGTCCATTACTTCAATTTTTATCAGTAAGGTGGGTAATGGGAACTTGGTCGTTTTTGTATTTTGTTATTTAGGAGTGAAATCGCGATTTTAGGAGTGAATTCGCTAACACTCCACAAAAGTCGTTGACTGCTGTGATTAGGCTTGCTGCCTCTGATTGGCATCAACTCAACAGAAACGTGTTGGGATTGGTTATAATTCTTAACATCGCAAAAAATAAAAAAACAACAACAACACAGGCTCATTCTGAAAACGTAGCCCTACATACGTTTCTGGAGATCATGAATTATGTAGCCCGAAGTACGCATGGCTGCAATTCATCTTTAAAATGAACGTTACGAGGTGGTATGGCCCTGTTTCTTTTCGCGCTTACCAGCTGACCACTTAGCTTTGTGTGAACGACTTTCCCGCTTTTACCAGTTTGTCCAGTGGCTCTCCATGTTTGTAGCCAGACTTAAGACGCAGAGAGGAGTTAACCACGACGATGGGGTTCCATTTCGGCGAGGAACGGTTCCAGAAAGCGAGTAAGACAAAAACAGAAGCCAAAAAATAAAATAAACAAGTAAATAACAAGGTAAGAATGTGGTAAAAATCTGAAAACGTGGTAAAAAACAGATGAGGGCTTTTACTTTTGAAAACTGTCAGTTGGGTTTAGGGAAGGTGGTGGGCGGGTCAATCGGTGCTTTTAAAAACACTATCGATTGGGTTTAGGGAAGGAGAAGGGTGGGTCAGTGGATCGGTCAGTCAGTCAGTAAGTCAACAGCGGCCTCTAGTGGATTTACATTAGAACAGCAGGCATGAATGGCACTCGCAGGAGAAATTTCAGATCTCAAAAAGCATACACAGCAGCCTCTGCACCAAACTGCACGAAAATTTACCTCCTGAGACCTATTTGGTGCTCTTCAGAAATGTATACAGCGGTACGTTTTCAGGATGAACCTGGGTTGAAAAAAAACTCTTACAGATGTGATGCTTCAAATTTTATTTATTGACGCATCGTATTTTCACATATCATTTTTTTTTGCCATATTATCTTAGAGCTTGTGGAAATAATGCCCTAAAAATCCAAGGCT